GGGGGGGGGGGGTTTTAAGTTGTGTGCATCACGATTAATCCGAACCGGACCGAACCCGAGGGAGATTCCCGAGATTCGCGAATGGTGACAATCAAACGCAACGTGCCAATCTTCATGTACCCCATGATTTTGCCAACCCCGCATTTTACCCCGGACTTGTAGCCGTGTTCATGGTGAATTCCGTACTTTTTTTCGTTCCACAGACCGTATAATAGTCCATTGGCCCAAGTGGATACGACCATAAGTTTATCCCCACTAATGATGATCTTGGGGAACGTCTTTGTATGAGGGGAAAAGCTGCCGACAAGACGGGCCACAGTCTCTTTTGTTCTTTTCCCCTGTCCGTTTTGGGGGATTTCACGATTTCCAATAGTCATGGTGGCCCAAAGTGGAAAGGGGAAGCGCCGGCAAGACAACAAATGACGCCAGGGCTCTTGCACTGTTCCTATGCAATGCCAAGCAGGAAATTCGAAGCGGTGAATGAGCAATTACCTTGATGTTGACGTTCGAAAATGGAAGTCCAAATGCACGGATATCCCTTGTTGTGGCCTCTGCTGGTCGTGATGGCCGCCCGGGAACGAGGAGTCAAGGAGGCGAAAGAGACTTGTCTGCCACTGGTATATATATGAGGCCTGTATTTGATTCAGCAGCAATCATTCATACCGTCATCAATTCCTCATTTCCGATACCAAACAACTCTGCGATCATTTCAGTATGCTTCGCTACGGATTTGCAGCCGGGCTCTTGGCCGTGCAGCTTGCTTCGCAAGCCGTCACGGGCGTCCATAGCCTTATTAGCAATAGAAACTCGGCCACGGACAACCTCCAGTCCTTTAGCTACAAACCAAGGATTTTCATCTTGTCGGATATTCTCAATGAGCCTGATGACTCCATGTCGCTGGTGCGATATCTGCTGTATTCTAATGAGTTCAACACCACTGGGCTGTGTGCAACAACGTCGTGGTGGCTGCAGAATGAGACGCATCCCGAGGAAATGGAGAGAATCATTAATGCCTATGGAGAGGTTGTCGATAACCTCAACCAACATGTGCACCCGTCTGCCCAGTATCAGAGCCCGGATGAGTTGCTGCAGCTTGTCACATCAGGCCCAAAAGTAAGAGTGTCCCTTTCACGCTGCGCTGCCACCAAGAATAGTCGAACGTGGACAAGGAGTAGCTAACGCGAAATCAGATATACGGAAGTGCTGCCTTGGACGAGCCCGTAAGTGAGGGTGCACTGCGTCTCATCGCCAGTCTGCAAGCATCTGAAGATCCGCTGTTCGTCACGGCTTGGGGTGGTACCAACACCTTGGCGCAAGCGTTGCAATACATGGATGAGACTCTGTCGGAATCGGAAGCCAGCGCACTGCGGTCCCGTATCAGGCTCTACACCATATCCGATCAAGACGATACAGGTGCCTGGATACGTGCACGCTACCCAGAGATTTTTTACATTGTCTCTGTCCACGCATGGAATGACTATGGTGCCGCTACTTGGACGGGAATCAACTTGGCGACGTGCGCTTGTGTCGACAATGAGACGGTGCTGAACCCGTGGCTGGACACAAACGTTCGTCTCGGCCCCCTTGGCGCCGTATACCCACAAATTGAGTACGGCATGGAAGGCGACACTCCCAGCTTCCTCTGGCTGGTGCAAAACGGCCTCGTCTACCGCGATCGCATCGACTGGGGTACTTGGGGCGGGCGATACAACCTCCCTCAAGCCCCCGTGGACGTGGCCAAGGGCAGGGCGCACATTAGCAACCAATACGTCAACGGCCTCGACACCGTCATTGGCGCCGACGGACAGTCGTACTCGACGGCCCAGGCCACCATCTGGCGCTGGCGCTCGGCGTACCAGGACGACCTGGCCGCGCGCATGCAGTGGACGCTGACGCCCAACTTTACCGACGCCGGCCACCCGCCCGTGATCAACGTCAATGGGCACCAAGGGCCGGACCCCCTGTTCCTGACGGTGGCGCCGAACCAGACATACCTCTTGGACGCCGGGCTAACGGTCGACCCGGATGCTGGCGGCAACGGTAACCTGACGTTTGAATGGGTGCTCTATCCGGAGCCGACCAAGTTCCTGACCTCGTACGTCGAGGTCCCGATCGCGGCGGTCAATGGGACAGGGGAGGTACTGGCGACTAATGATGCCGGATTCGCCAACGCCACGTTGGGGACGGCCATACAGTTCACGGCGCCTGTAGAGTGGACGAACCCCAACACGGGGGTCTCAATGGGTTTCCATATTCTTCTGCAGGTGACCAACTCGGCTGGAAAGTATCCGATTACGCGGTACTTGAGGATAGTCTGCGAGTATGAGTCTTGAGTTGGGTTGTGGATGTCTAGGCTGCAATCATGAGTAATATTTATGAACCCAAAATCAAACCCCAGGCATTATTCACCGGGCTGGAATCGAGAAATTGTGAGGTGAATCCATGACATGGAATATCACAGGTCCCACTGAACGCCACTATACACTACAGGTGTCCATGATGCCTGGCGCGGGGGTGGAGCGGCCGCCTAATATCTAAACTGAGGCCCCGCAATAACTGGGGTCCAGGGCAGTATTACTCACTGACCGCAGGCGGTCCAGTAGAACAGTCCATCAAGTGTAAGAACCCTCCAGGGTTTCCAGGTTGTGTGATTCAAAGCCTCCCACGCCAGCAGATACGCGATTCAGGAATCGACAGACAACGCAGTCATGCAGAAGCAAGCGGATAGCTTCGAAGAAATTCATTTGCCTGTTGTTGTGTTTCCAATCAGGCTACAGTGGCGTGTTTCCCAAAATGGCTGTGCCGAAAAAGCATCACACCAGCTTGAACCAGGCAGTGGTGAGGCTCCGCGATGGCTAGCAGGCACAGCACCTGTGCTGCCTACATCGCTTCCCATTCAGCGGCCAATCATGCTGCGACATTTACGCGGTCCATGCCGATCCATCACCACTTGGCGTCGTACAAGAAGAATGTAAGGCAACCGGACACCATGTGAGTTGTGAGGCACCGACAGCTTGTGGAGAGACTCGGAGAATCCTCAACCAGTGCCAGGCAGGAGCATCAATCATGATGTGGCGACCCTAGCTCAGCAGCGAGGCTATGCGCTTAAATTTCCTGATATTGCCTATGTGACTTTTGAAAAACTGTGTTTGCGTCTGTTCTTCACTTCTTTATTACCGACTTTTTTTTCTCTTTCTGTCCGTTATATTTATGCTGCAACACGTATTGGTCAGAACAGTTGTCAATTGCTACATCAGTTACTCACGTTGTTGCCGAACCCTTCATATATTGGCTACCGTTTTGATTCCCTTCTCGTTCCCAACATCTGTCTGATACAACAAGACATTCAAAATGGCACGTACCAAGGCAGCAGCCCAAAGATCTGGCGCATCGTCACATCCGTCCAAGAGAGTGACACCCATCGTTCGCAATGGTGTGCATCACAACGGCAAGCCAAAGCCCGCTCATCCCAACGGTGTGAGCACAGATGCAGCGAACGGTACAGAGAAAGAGACAGATGCAGAAAGCTCAACAGATGAGGAGCCTCAAGATGAAACCATGAAGTGTGAAATCAAACCACTTGATCGACGGTACGACGACAAGGATGGGCAGTACTTTACAGAGCGAGCTGTCGAGGTTGATTTGCCCAAGCAAAAAGATTGGTGGCGGCTCTTTGCCTTTTGTCTGGTGCGCAACTATGACTCCGAGGATGAACTGAACTCAACCAAGCTCTTTGCCAATGCGCAGCCCATCAGGCAACTCCTTTACGATGTCATTGGCAATTACCCATCTGACCCCATCAACGTGGACGATGTGCAGATTGAGTCGCCCTATCGGTCACTTTTCTTTTACCGTGAAGAGCTTGAGGAGACGGGTGTCAAGCGATTCGAAGAGAACGATGACCAGGAGTCTTTGGCACATCTCAAGCTCTTGCTCTCTTGGATTGATACGCATTTCGAGACAGAGAGAGCCTCGTACAAGAGGTGCATCAAGGGCAGCCCCAAAGCTATCAGTTACGACCACCTTTGGACAATATTCCGCCCCGGAACAACAGTATACAGCGAGATCCTCCAGCAGCCACGTGCCTTCCGTGTCGTCAACCTCTCGTATGACACTGGCGAGCTGGCTTCTCTGGTACTCCAAGTCTCTTTTGTAGACTTTGACGGTGAGCGCGTTGGCTCGCGCAAGTCGAGCCTTTGTATCCCCAAGTACAGTGGCGTGCAGGATATCGAGGACCTTCCGGCCATGCCACTTGATTTCATTGAGAACGCAAATGAAGTCCGCGACGCACTAATGGAGCGCGGTAAAAAGTTCGAGGGCTATGTCGGACAACACTATCTGCAATACGACGGCATTGCCGTCAAGAGAATTCAAGACGGCTACGCAAGATTCAATGTCACTGGCCGCGTCATGATTGACTGCAAGACCTACCATCGCATCGAACCTAATGATTCGTTCCGCGTTCTTGGCTTGAACAATAGTGACGACTCTAGCAGACGAGATCGATTGATGAAGCGAGTGACGGGAAATAACGAGTTTGTGTCGGACAGGATTGTCCACGATAAGCTGTCAGACGATGATCTACTGCTGTGCAATGCCACAGTACGGGGATACTCTTTTACAGTCAAAAAGTTTCTCGAATTTTTTGCTGACCAGCTGTGCCCTATCGAGTGGAACACACGGTGCTTTGATGATCTAGTCCTGGACGTGGAGATCAAGAGGACAGTCCAGGCCCTTGTCGCCACCCATGCGGAGAAGAGGGAGGCATTCGATGACATTGTCAAGGGAAAAGGCCAAGGCCTGGTCTGCGTCCTTCATGGACCGCCGGGAGTGGGCAAGACTTTAACAGCCGGTACGTGACAACCGCAGCCGTCCTTTCCGAATTCTCCTTTACTAACACTTGTGTTGCAGAATGCGTAGCTGAATATGTCCAACGACCGCTTTACATGGTTTCCTCTGGAGATCTTGGCACCAACAGCGTGGACCTTGACAAGACGTTGACAAAAATCATGGACATGACATCCACATGGCGGGCCGTGCTCTTGATTGATGAGGCAGACGTATTCCTAGAGCGACGATCGCTTCATGACCTACATCGTAATGCCATGGTGAGCGTATTTCTACGGGTCTTGGAGTACTATGCCGGAATCCTCTTCCTGACCACGAACCGCGTCAACACCTTTGACGACGCCTTCAAGTCGCGGATACATATTCCCATCAGATACACTGAGCTCTCAATCGAGTCGCGTATCCAAATATGGAGCAACTTTTGCAAAATGGTCCCGGGTGGCGTCGACATTGACGACATTGGCATCGCCACCCTGGCCGAGCACGACCTCAATGGGCGCCAGATTAAAAATGTCATCAAGGCGGCAGAGAGTCTGGCGGTGTTCGAGAAGATCAAGCTCGACCTCAAGACCCTGCAGCAGGTCACCAAGATTCAAGCCACGTTTGAAAAGGACTTGACGAATTTGAGTGGCGTGGACTACACCGCTCCCGGGTCTTCGCGGAAGGATGCCGACAGCAGGAACATGTTTCTGTAAAGCGATATGAGTATGGAGAGTCCGTTATGCCTATTATGTGTTACATGTCATGACCTTGAAAAATATTCAGGCCGAATTTGCAAAAGCACTTTGTCTGTTTGCACACTTTCATCAGCAGCAGTTGTTTGGCGTTTCGTTTATTCAAATTAAGTAGCGTGAATACCAAAATCATCTCATCGACTGGGCTCTAGTCACACGTGAAAATTCTGGCTTTTGGTTTGCTATTCCGTTTTTCTATGGACAAGGAGTGACTCTAAAAGGATAGTACTTGGCGTGTAGGCCGCCCAAGATCATCTGGTTATGCTCTGAAATCGCTCTTATCTCTTTATCCTAGCTTTCGTTCCCCCCTAAAAGGCCACATGGCATGCCTGGAAGCTGTCGTGTGGTTCACTCTAATTACTGCTGGCCCCAAACTCCTCAGATTCATGAAAGGTCAAATCTTGAATCCAAGTTCGCTATTGATGCGCCTTAGATATCGATTCCTTTGAGCTTGCATGCAACAGCCGCCAGGACTATTGATTGAGCTAGAGTAGACAGATGGTGAGCTTATAGTACATAAAAACAGTTGAAGTCAATTCCATGTCCCACCACGCTAGATCGAGGACAAAGGGAAAGTGAAAATAAACTCTTTTCTCTTTCTCGCTCTCTCTCTTTCTTTTTTTTTTTTTTTTTTTTTTTTTTTGTTGGACTTACCTAGCAGATTATTAGGCTTGCACGTCTTGAAACAAGTCGAGGAATCGATCAAGACTTCCTTGATGCTCGGACAGACGCACTTGGCCGTCGGGGTCTTGGCGCAATCGGTCTTGATGACAATGGACTTTTCAATGCAGCCCGTAATGCAGACACCAAAGACGGTCAGCAGCGACAGACTACAAAAGAAAACATGAATTAGCACAGTTTTATTTTCCAGATAGACGGGAATAATGTGAAGAAGAGCCGTCTAGTACTGTTGATCTGTGTTTGTGTGCGCGCAATTTTATAGGTCCAGAAGAGGGGGGGCCCATGATAAATGACACAAGAATGATGCTTACGGATTGGGTAGATCCACGGGCGGCAGAATGGGCAGGGTGGATACGGCAGTCTTGGGTTCCGGTACGGGCTCGGGCTCCGCGAGGGCCTCGGGGGCGGGAGCTGGCTCCGGAAGGGCGGCGACAAGGGTCGCGAGGAGGAGGACGACTGGCGTGAACTTCATTTTGATGAAATTTCTGATTGAATACAAAGATGTATCAGTGTCTGAATAGTGTTTATTTTGTTGTATTGCTCTTTTGCTTGAAATGAGTGAGTACTTCAGAGCAGAAATCAAAGGCTTATATACTCGTTTTCACTGTTATCAGGTTCCTCAGAAAGTCTACCCGGAGGTAGTAGAACGGCATTTCGTTTCAAAAATGCAGTTTGGGATAGAACTTTTCAGCTGCCAAGAATGCTGTCTTGATATCTTCGAGCAGGAAGCAATTCATACCAAACCGTATGGGCAATTATGTGAGACATCCCATACAGCTGGGCCAGATATCCATTATATTCTTGTCGTTGCTTCATTTGACAGCTACGGGTATAAAGTCCTCAACAATGTCTTAGGATCGCCATGAACCGATTCGTCCTGCGCAGTGGTGGAACCATATACCAGGCTCGGGACCTCTCCCGCGCAAGCCTGTCTCAGATTTGTTTTCCTTCTGGAAATCAAGGGTCTCCGGCTTGGGGAATTGTCGCATAGCTCGAACGGTTATAGTGGTCCGACAGGTTAGAATTGCGCGAAGGGCTTTCTATATCTACTTTATGTGTCAAGAACATCACGTGGGGGTGTACTTCTTTCAATTTCACGGACTTACTAAGGCAACCATGTGCAGGTCATGTTACTCGATTTTTCGCCAGTGAGAGCATAATAGCCATGCCCGATTTCCGCCAGGTATGGTAAGCCTGTTACCGTGGTGCGTTTGCATGCAAGAGAAGACAATTCGCAAGCTCTTGCTTCAACGGCCCGTCCTGATAAGATTTTCCAGCTCTCGTCTCCAAGAAAAGCACACCTTTCATGCTAGTTCTAGTGCAGCCATGTGCCGCCGTTGATGCGCATTTGAACTTTGTCAAGGCCCATGGGCCGGTCCAGTCCTCCCGAAATCTGTCAAGTTATCCCGTCTGCCTGGGCTGCCTTGCGGTAACGAGGACCCTGAAACACTTCCAAATTCCCATCTCGCTCTCTATCGACATTTTCTTTTCGGCCATTCTACCCGTCATGGGTAAGCTTAACTCCTCAACTTTCCCCGCGCCTTGAAACGACGACGCTCAGCGCGAGCAGCGCGAGCAGCGGCTAAGCGGCACTTCTGGTAGTTATGTTTGCTGCAACTGCACCCGAATATCTGGTTGTCGCTCTCGTAGACAGCCGAGACTTCAGGGTCTGATGTCCCAGCCGGTGTGGTTTAGCTTTAGCAAGCCGTCGGTTTTCTATTGGACTATGCCTTTCGGCTCGTTCTTTGAGCAATGGGCTTGCGTTTTATCCTCCCGTCACTGCTGCACGCCTCATCTACAGTGGTAGTGCCGAGCTTCAAAACGCCATATCTAGTCCTATGACAACTCATCAAGAGACAGACGAGAGTTAGTCGCGTGAGGGAATTCCTGAATGGACACATTTGTGCTTCATTATGGTTCATTCCGAGAAGACTGGTCAGTCCATTCTCCCATCAAATTACTGGAGACCACCAGGGACAACAAATATCCCACGGCTAAAAGTGAGACTTTCGGGTTTTTCCTGTGACAAATAACTGTCGATGTTCCCTTTTAAAGAAAGCCAACGTACTCGGGTTTCCAGCAGCCAAAATCTCTTGTTAATTTCATCGTATTCTGTATTGCGGAAACAGGTCAACCTTTCTCCTGTCGTGGGACTAGGCTTTCTTTGGGTCATTTACAAAGGAAATAAGCGTTATGCTCCCACCCAACTGCTAGGTCTATCTATGGTAATCTTCCCTCTACCTTGGTACAATCACCAGACATTTCCACAGTCCAAGGTACGGACAAGAACAATATAACACACTACCATAGACACATCATGCCCCAGTCAATTTGTCCACAATCTCAGATACACCATACGGCGCAAGATCTTCCATGGTCTCGCGCCATAGCCTCTCGGCTATCTTGGCGCCCTCGGGTTTGTAGATAAGTGGCGCCAATCTGTCAAGAAATCTTTTTTAGTCCAAAGTACAAGTATCAAATACCAGGCGGAACGTCTAGACTTACGGTTGAATCTTGCCGTCCTCGATATACTGTCCATGTGACTCTTGCCCATACAAGACGGCCGCGCACGTGACAGATCGAGCCCCGACCGCGGGTGTGCGACCAAATATTCTCAAGAAAATGTGCTCTGCCAGAAACCCGGCGACGGTACCCTTGTAGTCGCCGCCCAGATTGGACCTCGTCAGACCGGGATTCGGCGCGTTCACGACGGCCACACTGGACGGAACGCGCTTCGCCAGCTCCGTCAGAAACAATTGGCCCAATAGTTTCGACGTCCAATATCTCTCTTGATCTGAAAAGTTGTTCTCTTGGTCAAATGCCTCGAGCAGGTCGGGGGCGCTCCTCTCTTTAAACTGTGCCTGAGCAGCGGCATCAGAATTGACCAGCACCACCCGGCCTGGCTCTGCAGGGGTTTGTTTTTCCTTGATGATTGGAAGCAGAAGGATGGTGAGCAAGACCATGGATAGATAATTGATCTGAATCAAGTACTCATGGCCGGTGCTTTCCACGAGGCCAAAGGACTTCTTCATCATGCCAGCATTATTAACGACAATGTCCAGGCGATCCAACTCCTTGGCGCGTTCCACAAAACCAGTAATGGACTCGTATTTTTCGAGATCGAGCAGCCACACCTCGACGCGCTGCTTCTCGGCATCTCTGCCTACTAGCAGATCCCTCTTGGCGGCTTCGCCTCTGGATTTGCTGCGCACGGCAATAATGAGTCTGCTGAGTCCGAGATCGAGGAGCTGGCGAGAGCATTCGAGGCCGATGCCACTGTTGGCCCCAGTGACAATGGCGGTCTTGCCGGCTAGATCTGCATCGTCGCGTGTCGGCAAGGGGGGAGTGATGAATAATTGACGTTTAACAAATGCCAAAAAAGATGCGCGCTTCTCTGGAGTCACGTCGAATTTGGGTGCCATGATTGAATTCAGGGTTGGGTCTTGGCGTGTTTGCTTTGGTGCTGCGAAAAAATAGCACCTGGAGTGTACGTGAATAGGGTAGCGTAAATGATAGAGAATGAATATAATTATTTTAGAAATTGATTAACAATCAAAGCAGAGAAACTACCGCCGTTATATAGGTGACTGTTGTGACAGATCTCCGTCGGCATAGGGATGAGTTATGCACTGCTAAATCCGAAGCTACTTGCTGCGCCGCCCCGGAATGAGTATTCTGGGGCAGATTCTATTTATAAGCAGCAAAGAATCGATGGCATTCTAATGGATCTGATAAAATGCGGCTTTGTATTAGACGCCTATTAAATTGATTTATTGGAATTTGCTCTTAGATTGGAGAGCGCATGTGTTATAGAATATTGGCGTGGGCCGCAAGAGACTGTTTCACAAACCATCCCCACTTTTATAATGGTGACAGACTCATCTGCACTCATATACTTAAACAACATACTAAGGACACGTTAGTTTCTCCCACTGGGTATAAAATCAAAGCCAAAGATATCTTGAACTACTCACAGGAATGTATAGATAGGGAACAGCCTGCTCGTACTGCTTCCATGCATCGCCGTACTTATTTCTGCACTTTGCCACATCTCTTAAAGTTCGGTGGATAATCATGACGCAAAAAAATACAGGATAGAACCACGGAAATGGGCTTCTGCGGGACTGTCAGCTCGACTCTGATAGTTCATTTGATGGGAACATACCTGAAACCTGTGATCAATGCCCATGAAATGGCAAAGTACATGTCGGCCGTGTAGTGCGGTTTCCTAACAATACCAAACCAGCCGTCTACCATGATACGATCGCCCGTCGTGGTTTCAATCGCCTTGGGGTTGCGAATAACCAGCCATGGAAGACGCGGCCAAGTCTTGCGGTCGAGGAGCTGTCCGCGCTCCATTTGGCGGAAGCCATTCTTTTGGCCATTGGCAGTATCCCACACCCAATAAAAGAAGAGATAGCCAATGAAAAGAAGAACAAATGGGAACGTAGACCATTGGTACTCTGACGGATCATGGTTGGCCAGGTACAAGGCGCAGTGACAATACGAGAATGGCACACCGGCCATGTTCCAAAATGTAAGCATAAAGCCCAACTTTTCGAAATACATATCCCTGATTCACGTTAGTATTTTTAAATCTCGGAAGAATCAAGATTGTGTACATACCAGCTCGTGATGATCAAGTGTTCGCCTTTGGCGCACGCATTAGCGTACAGGAAGTGGGCGGCAACAATAAAACCAACTTCTTTGGAGACATAGCCATAGGACTCGTACTGCCTCACCGCAGCGGCTGAGCTGATCAAGAACAGGATGAACCACGGCACGCGTACTTCGTAAAACATTTTGAGATCCAAGATGCCGATCCGGGGGTTGAGCTCGGCGCCCATGAAGAAGTCGTAGATTGGATAACCAGTAAGCCGATGGGTTCTCTGGCCAACCATTGCCGAGATGTATACAGCGATGCTGTTGATAAACCCCGAAAAAATGGCCACGGACATGATTGGGCCAAACTCGTCGATGATTGTGTACAAGGGAAAGAGACCACTAATGTGTAGTGCCGCTGCGATCAGAATCGTGGTGTAGAAACTGACATAGGCATTGCAAAAGTATTTGAGCTGTCTGTCGCCCTCGTGGCGTAATCGCTTGCCGTGACCAGTAACGCCAGGAAGTACATAGTAAAAGGCCATCTCCATGGCGAAGAAGGACCAGTAAATGATCCAGGCTTTGCGAGTAGGGAAGGCGCCAGTATATGCCAAACTCGCCAAGTGGTATACGAAATCGGTCCATGTCTGGTCGTCGGATGGGAGCGGCACGTTTCCATTGTAGTATTTGGCTCCGACAAACATGTACCACATGAGCAGAGGGAAGCCGATGATCAGAGCAGATGTACCGAGGGAACCTCCGAATTCAAAGTGGTTCAGCGGCACACCTTCGTAGTCTATCTCGGCCGTGGGTGAATCATTGGTGTCGGTCGACTTGGCTTTTGAGCCCCGATCGCGGATCGTGGGAGGCATGGTAATGTGATCCCTCGGCTTGAGATTCAGATGTCTTTGCTTTGACGCAGGTCGCGGCAAACTGGAACTGACAGAGGAGAGGGATGTCGCACATCATGGTCAACATTGAGGAGGTTCCCCCTGGGGTTTAAATAACCGAGTCGAGTTGACTTGAACAGTGAAGACATCTTTTCGACTTTGTCAGATGGAAGATCAAAGTAGTGTCTCAATGATCCTTAGGATCCTTGATCCGCCCGAGGTTGCTCTTAGCGCCGTGTTCATTGACAAGACTCAAAGCTGGGAAGTTTACAGCGAGATGAAGGTCAAGTTATAATTTTGAAGCGGGTCTTGCACCGGCTGTATGAAAATGACCAATGGTGTCAATCAACTATTCGTGGAGCTTGTTCATGTTGACATTATTGACATCCTCCGTGTTCATCGCGTGCAACGCAATTATACTGTAGTGGTATTTAGAGGCAAGAGAAAGCGAGCAGCCCGCTATTTTCAGCGCTAGAAGCGGATTGCAAGCACCAAATTAGCGACCAACTACGGAGCGCCAGGGGCAAGGGATGAGGCTTGATGTCCTGTAGCGATTGGCTCGCTTTCTCGGAAGGGATCCACCTCTACCTCATTTCCCTTTTGAAGGCAATTTATGCCGACTTGTCCTCGCTGTCAACTTCCTGTTCGTTCCGTCCTCGTTGTGGAATCCCTCGTCTGTTAACAACCACAAGATCATTGATGGCCAGTGTGAGAACTCCACGCAAAAAGACATTTACAGGCTGCTGGACTTGCCGGTCGCGTCGCGTCAAGTGCGATGAACAGCTGCCGTTTTGTCAGAGATGCAGGCTATTCGGAGTCGAGTGTGAAGGCTATGGCGTCCGACTCACCTGGTTGTTGAGCGACGGCGAGGGGCAATTCCAGCAAGACGTTGACGGTAATGCCGTGAATACGCAATCTGCCCGAACGAGGCGTAGTATGCGTTCATTCGAAAATGCGGAAGCATGGATCGCGCCACAATGTTCCGATTCGGAACTCGACGCAATGTTGGAGAGGATTGATGATTGTCCTATTCGCTCTTCTAGACTGGAAAGGGGGCTGTTCTCAGTGTTCCCTTTGCAGCGGGACTCGCCGTGCTCACAGTCCAACCTAAACAGTTGTCAATCGTCAAGTGTACAAGACCCAGAAGAGAGCATTGACGACCTAGACACAATCTCCATTAACGTGACTCGGAAAGTTACAAACCTCGTCGCTTCACCTTTGGCAAGTAGTGTTCCCAATCGGCAGACTCTTCACCTCAAACATGGTCTGACACCGCTTTCACAGGAGTCTGAACCGCGACAATTGGCTGTTGAAGACTCTGGATGCGCGCTGTTGGATCGGGTCGAGCAGGACAGAGCAAGAAGTGAGAACCATACCCCGAGTCTGGTGCAGGCAGGCATTTCTTCCCTCCCAAAGCCGACACGGCATCTGGACTCCCTTGAGACGCCCTCTTGCGAGAAACGGCTCATCCACCACTGGGTCACTTTTACCAGTGGTAAGCTAGTCCTCGTCGACGAGCCTCACAATCCATGCCGCTCAATGATGTTGCCAATGGCGTTGAAGGGTGTCATGATGAGTCCGAGTGAGTCTACAGCCGATGTTGCCGTCTTTCACGCGATTTGTGCCGGCGCAGCGTATAATCTTTACGAGCTTGGCGGTAGGTCCAATGAACAGGACAGAGCACTTGCCTGGAAACACGACGAACAGGCCATTCACCATCTTCGCCACAACCTAGCGCAGCCCGATCAACATCACACCAAGTCTCTGGCAATGGCAATCATGGCTTGCATCACCGTCGAGGCCATCTCTGGCACGACTGGCAGATGGCGAACCCATCTCGACGGTGGAATCGCCTATCTGACCGAGTTGCGGAAAACCGCCATTGGCTTGCAGATTTCTCTCGCCTTTCAGGTCCACCTCATTCCGATGGCGATTCTCTGCGGTTATTCCGTGCCTGCGGAACTCAAGTCGTTTCTGGACGATGGTGCAGAGAAACTAGAGTTTTCATTCCCATATTACGGCATCTCGCAATCGCTCCTGAGAAATCTTGATCGCATCAATGCCTTTGCGGTAGCATTAGACAGAAATGTGCCACATTCAGACCTAGATCGATTCGAACTTCAATTGTACCTGGACTTTCCACCAAGTGCAGATGATCCGAATCCAAAGGAACATAGTGCAATTGTCCACTACATGACGCAAGCATTTTATTATGCATTACTGGTACACTACCAGCGATCCATTCGACATTCACCATTGGAACAAGTGCAGGCACTCGTCGAAAAGGGTATCGCTCAACTAGAGTTGATAGAGCAAGCTACGCAAGACTCGGCAGGATCAGTCATGATGTGGGCTCCCCTTGTGCTTGGTGCTGAATGTTGCTCTTTGGGTTTGCAACGACGAATGTCGGCGTGGTTCCAAAAGAAGCGGAGACTCGGTATGAGAAACGTTGCAGTCATAGAAGATATGATCAAGGATTTGTGGGAAAAGAGAGCACGTGGAGATCTTGATGCTGATTGGCAACATCTCATAGCCCAAGAAGATTTCGACGTATTTCGACTGTGACAAGCGCTTTTTGACATGCGAAAATAGAAAACGGTATGGTTACAAGAACTGTGGGAAACCCGTTACAAGCTGCTAGCGCCTGAGCCGTTTTGAAGCAGAACCAGCTCCATTACAGGGCATGACTTTCTAGCTTAAATCCACAACCTCCTCTACATACTCTATCGTGACTACATCGTTCTCAACGTAAGACTTTGTATACAGTGTCTGGGTATCATTCCAGTAGACAGCCGTCATGGCATTGAGCGACGTATTGTCTGCAGACACGGGCGGGAAGCAAGCTGAATCGGCACTATAGCAAGCCTTTGCACCGATGATAGTTGCATTGCTCCAGTCAGGGAAGATATATTGTGGCCCGTTGAGATAAGTTCCGGCTTCCATGATCCACTCGGCCGAGGTTCCGAGAGCAGGCCAGGTCGGCCCGCGCCACGATACAGGCGCATCTTGGCTGTATGAGAACTGCTGGCTGGTGTTGAGGTTGGTCATGACGACGGATCCGACCAGTCCGTTGTTTGTGGTGGTCAGAATGACTTCAAGGTGGTCGCCGGCAGATATGGCCAGGTCAGTAGCATTGACTTGAATTGGGTCTTCTGGCACCCTAGTGGGATGTTAACAAAGTGTTGGCCCCGACTTTCTTAGCTAGGACGAAAAGGAAACGCACCACTCGTAGAAACCCGTATACTCTGTCGTTCCGTTTTCCCAAATGGACATGACAACGCCAGCCTGCCATAGGCCAGAGAGGGCAGTTGCAGAGGACAAGAAACCAGAGAAGCCGATCCAAAAGCTTGCCGTGTATTCGTCTGATTGCTGGCGCGGGTTCGCCGGAATGCTGAGCTCGGGCATCACGAGCGTGGCCTCGACGCGATCGAAGCCGCCCGCGGTGCCATTGAAGCGCTCCGCTATTCGTACTGGCCCTGCCCAAGTTGTGTCATAGGTGGTCGCCTGAGACGAGGCGCTCAGTGCAAAGACTAGAGCGCTCAAAAATAGACTCGACTTCATCTTTTCGATTATTTACAACAACTTGATGAAGGTATTGAAACTCGGAGTCAAGTTCGAGGGTCTATCAAAGTTGAAATACTTGTTTGTCCCCAAAGATCGGTGTACTTGAATACGAGGTTCTGTAGTGGAGAGCCACCATGTCCCGCCAATCAAGGATGGTTGCCCCTAGACGATCCATGTCTGCCGGGGTTCTGGAAAGGGCAAATCGCATCGAACACGATCATGAGTGATTGGAAGTTGTCATGCGCAATCCGCATAGTTGACAAGTTCGAGATCAAGAACGTGAGTCCCGATAATATGGAGGTCTGCGGGGCGTAAAATAGGTACCTAAGTTTGCCTGGCGTAGGTGGCCAAAAGTGGACAAAAGTCACTGCCTATAATCTGTGCTGGCATCGACTTGGCGCAATTGGACGAACTGACACAACTATAACTGTCTGCAGTACAAGAACTACCAAATTGGTGGTATCCTATGAGCGCAGCAATCTTGATTCAATTATGGACTGCCCAGTCCATAGTCGCGAAAAGATACAACAGTGAACTGTTGAATCAATTATCGCCAACTACAATGTAACTCATATGCATTTACGCCCATTGACTGCTAGCTTTTTGAAGAACTTGCTTCGCACCCTCTCTGACCTCACGAACAATTTCCGCGGCCGGCAGGACCTCCTTTACCAATCCAACGCCCGTGCCAGACCAGACGACTGCTCTCCGGCTTTCGCCCCAGCCCTTGTCGTCTCCTGCCTTGGCCTGGGTATGAGATTCGCGGATCTGTTCAATGGGAACACCGGCAATGTGATCGTCGTAGCTCTGGGACAGGAGGGCTCTGCCATTGTAAGTCGTCGGCCAAATATTCGGACCCCTCAGCTCGTCAAAGATGACGGCGCGCACCGTTGCCTGTCCGCCGTCCCGGGCTTCGATAATCTGTCGCTGGTATTCCGGATGGGCTTCGACCTCTTTGGAAGCCAGGAAGCGCGTGCCCATTATGACGGCCTCGGCACCGAGCGTAATCGCCGCCGCGGCGCCGCGCGCATCCACAATACCGCCCGAGGCGGCGACCCGGACTGGAAGCCCTGCGCGGGCCAAGTCGTCCTTGGTCTCGGGCACCAGCGACACGATGCCCGCACCCCGTTCCCAGCCGTGGCCGCCGGCGTCGGTCCCTTGCATCACCAGCACGTCGGGCTTGGCGCTGCGGGCGAGCTCGAGCGCCCCGGCCACGGACGAGACTTGGATCCAGACCTGCGTTCCGGGGAGCGCCTGGCGAATAGCCTCGGCCCACACGGTATAATCCCTCAGCTCGGGCTCGGCAAAGAGCCACACCACGGCGGGTGGGTGTTGCTGAAGCACCTGGATGACCTGTGCCCGCCTGTTGGTCAAGGCAAACAAGATCAAGCCGACGCCAAAGGGAAGCAGGCTGCTGCTGCCACTGCTGCTGCCGCTACCCTCCTTGAGATCGGAAAGCAATTCGGATGCTCGCACTAGTTGCGTTGACAAGACGGACGGGTCCAACATGGCTCCGATCATGCCGAGGCCGCCAGCACGGGATACGGCGGCGGCGAGATCAGGCCCGGCAAAGTCACCCATGGGGGCATTGACAATTAGAGGGGACGAGGTCCATGCGAATTGCTCGTGCAGCACCATTGTCTCTTTGTGTTTTGCTTAATACCAAAATCCGGGGTTCACCTTGGTTGTGGGCAGGGTTTTTCTCGGTGCCTCAAAGGGCTTGGGCAGATGGACGTGGCTGTCGAGTTGCAGGTTGAAGGAAGGTAAGTAAGATCCTTGGTCGACCAGTCAGCGTATGTCAACTATTATAATGTGGTTCAAATCAGGTATGAATCATCCATGATATGATCGCCATCCGCAACAATAACCACGGCCCGCTGCTGCTCACATCGGAGCTAGTGGAAGCTCGTGGTAATAGTACGTACAAGATAGTTTCCCCAGTTTTCCAAGTTCAAACACAACCATGATTAGTATTTTCAAGTATTACTTGAACCATGCTTACGTGTTTTCACAGGGCCAAGATGGAGGTGTAAGCAAATTGGACTTGGTCGATATCCAACGGGATTCGTAGGTCCTTTCGTGGTTCATTAGAAAAGGGTATGCTTGACGCCCCGCGTAGCTGTACCAATCATTTGCACAGCCGGGACCATCTCAATTTTAGGCCTCTTGCTTCCCACTAATGCACCTGTTTGGTTCACTTTAAGCAGAAGCCTCGTGCACTACTCATTCATGTTTTAGGGTCTGACGTGACAGATTATCAAGCATCCCGATTTTCGAATTTCTAGGGGACAATATTTTACCTACAAGTCATTTTATCGAGTACAGGAGGAGTCGCATGGCAGGGTCCATGTTTGTCCTGGTAATCCGCGGAGATGCAAAAGCATTATGAGAGCATGCGTACGTGCTTATTGCTAGTGTTGCTGAGCCCTCGAAACAAGAAGAGCAACAAACTTTTGCTAGAGATTGTACTATCTGCCGCTGGACTCGCTGGCGCCCTCGAGGCCCTAGCGGCGCTCGCAGCATGGAAATAATGACCATGATCGCTTCCCATATGGACAAGAAATTAAAAGGAATCGCTGCTGGGTCAGTAACGCAAATTGTATTTCATGGAACTGTGCACATGGTCAGTCTGAGTAGCAGCCTTTCCCGACGAGCGCAATGATACACACGTACAGTACTAGGCGGCCAACGTTGTTTATGCGGCTGCATCGCCGCGCATTGATTAGCTGGCTTCCCCATCACTATCAGGAATACCAGTGGACGTCCTATAAAGGCAACAGCGCAACAATGTCAGCACTAAAGCACAAATAGGGACCAATTCGCAATGCCCGGACCCTATCAGGAATGGTTGCTTCACCATACCATGCAGTAAATACCATGAAACGAATGCCTTCTTGTACGGGTACATTGACGCCCTGTGAGTAGCAATGCTGATTCTCCATGGCTCAGTTGTCATAAAGAGGGCGTTGATCAATGCCATATCAGACGCCATGTTGCTCCAATAGACCATGTCACAGACGTCAGACGTGTAATATAACCTTTCCGATTCAGTCTGTGTCTTACATTTGCCGCTACTAGAGCTACTGCGCGGCGGTCCTGTTGTCAGACACATTTCAGAGCGGCCGTTAGCCTCATCCAATGTAAGCACTCAAATGCTTGTCCACTGGCTGGTACAGGTTTCTATAAATTCTGACGGATCCCTCGATGCTTGGCATTGATTACGCTCTACCAGGTCCTTCGTTTTGACTTTGTCTTGTTTTCTGTCACTGGCTATACTATACCCTCACATCATCAGAACTCCATCTTCAGCTCAATCACTTGGGAAAACTACCTTCAAGTTTGCCTTTGGCCAAGACCGCATCTCACCAGCGCTATCCAATCTTAAAATTTGGAGTTTGAGGAGTTTCAATTTTGACCGTACAAACATGGCTCACCAAAACAAAACACTTCTTGTCATTGGTGCTGGTCCAGGCATTGGCCGATCCATCACCACTCTATTCGCTTCCAATGGCTACACCAATGTGGCGCTATTTGCCAGAAGTGGCAATGGCCTTGCCGGCGAGCAAAAGGCAGTGGAGGAGTCTATTGGGAGCAACGGCAAGGTCAAGACGTACCAGGTCGATGCTGCCGACACCGAAGCTCTAGCCAAGGCTCTCGCCGAGGCGGATGCCGACTTTGGGAAGCCGGATTGCATCTTTTACAATGCCGCTCGGGTTCGACCTTCGGAACTCTTGACCCATGATCTCAAGGAAATTGAATATGACTTCAAAGTAAGATCCCACCGCATTATGCCAGGATATACACATGTTCACGTTGAGCTGAATATCAAATAATTCACAGATCAATGTTTCCGGACTTTATACAGTATCCCAGCATTACATGCCTCACCTGCTGGACCTGGCCAAAAAGGACCCCAAGGCCCAGCCTTCTCTCATTGTGACCAGCTCGTGTCTACCTCTCCAGCCCGTGCCGCAGTTCTTTGCCCTGTCGCTGGTCAAGGCCGCGCAGCGCAACATGGTGCAGAGCATGAACATGACGTATACCCAGCAGGGCGTCTCGGTCGGTCTCATCAATGTCGGCGGGCCGGTCACGGCTGACCACCCGACTCGCAACCCACCCAATATTGCCGACAAGAGCTGGGCCTGGTTTAGTCAGTTGAGGGAGAAGCCCTCGTTTGAGGTCCTGATTGAGTAAGCGAATTCTCAGTGGGTCAAACCTCTTTCAGCGGATAGAAAACGAGCGAGTCAACCTTGGGATTCAACTTGCGCCGAGGGCAAAGGCACGTCAAGTGTTTATGCAACTACGTTTGTAGTAGTCTTTGCGTTTATGCGAAGAAATCAAGGAGTCGTCAGTATACTAGACAAGGTTTCTGGGTGGATGAGGACGCTGGACGAATGCTTATAAGCTGGTGTCAAGGACATGGTCATCAAAGGTGTTGACGATCTCTGCTTCCCCAGTTTGGGAGCATTCGTTTAGTAGTTTAATGTTCAACGTGGAACAATAATTTTGTCCGCGAAAGGCATCTCCCTTGCCACATCTAAGATCCGCTCACTCTCATTATCCATATTCATACCCTCTTGATAAATCGTCCTTGTTCAGGGCGCTGTCATCGACATGAGCTCAATTCTTGCCCTCGGACAGCATCACCTCATACAGGAGCCGCAGGTCCAGCGTAGCAATACGCAGTGCGCCCATCCTCTCTGTGTCTGTCATGGCCTGTATCTGTCTGCGGCGCTCTGGAGTTGTGGGAAGTACGGGTTCTGCATGACCCTCTGACGATCCAGTATGCCGACGATTTGGCTGATCCTCAAAGTCACTACTTCCAGGAACCTCGCTGGCAATCTGGGACAATACCCTTCCAGACCTTAGGTGGAACAGGCCAAGGCTCTCTTCTGCTATTGCCCTGAGAGGCGATGTAGAGCCCATATGGCCCAGCACCAGTCCTCCAGAACTCTCGGCCGCTATCTCTTGGTTCTCAGAAGGGGGAACGGGCTCAGGTACTGAAGCACTCTAGTTAGAACGATATTAAGCGATCGGCATTCTAAACTTACGGCAACATCTGAACCTCTGGCCATTATATGTACATCCAGCACATCCCAAACCACCGACACAAACATCCCAGGGGTTCTTGTGGTTGGCGCAGCGCGTACACGTCTGCTCCGATAGCTCGGCAGATGCTTGTGTGAGGGCGGCTTTGAGGTTGCGGTTCTTGGTCGGTGTCGTCGTCGCCAGGCTAAATTCGTGCCTGCGTCCGTAGTGCTCATTAAATCGGAGCTCCCTCACGGCCGGGAGATTGAGAAGAACCCGTAGATGTGGTGACGTGGGCGTGTTGTGCAGTCTCGGGTACTTTGCCCTTACATCATGGTACGCGAGCCAGACGGCCTCCCATGATGTTATCGGTCCTGCTGTTTTCGCATTAGTCATTGCCTATAGGCTGAAGAGAACTTAGCTAACCTGGCTTGGCCGGGGTCTTTGGTTGGGCCTTTGGTTTCCGCTTCATCTTCTTCTTTTGCGCCTGCTCAACTCTGACTGGATTTTGAGACGGTTCGTGCGAATGTTTGGTGGAAGGGATGAAGTCAGGGTCGACTGTGGGTGACATGTCGACAATGGTTGGATAACAAAGGCTCAAAAGTCATGAACCGCCACTGGATGGAAATCCTGATATCAATCTAGCGTTCACGCGTTGCCATTAGGGAGGTATTGATGTGATGGGCTGAACGGGGGTGCCACCTTCATTGGTGTGCGATTAGCACTTAGATTATTATTCCGACAGAATAATCGTTGGCAATTCAGGTTGAAACGTCACAGCCATTCAATATGAAAATACGGTGAACGAGTGTAGCCAAGAAGTCTCGCATTGAATGGTGGTGTCTAGGATGTTCGAGCAATTGCTGTCAGAACCAGAGTCTGAGCATACCAGGAATCAGCCAAAGCAGCAAGAACAGATATCTGTTGCAGTCAGTATCCAAAATCAAAAGGTTCAAGTCAAGGATAGTATAAACCTGTGGAAAATCGGTCTGAGCAAACGGACTCAATAAACCCTTCGCGTTGTGTTACGCGAAGTTGCCGCACGACCTAGCCGCTGCGTGGCGCGTTAATATCCTTGCGTTTATGACAGGTAACAATTCTCCCATGACCAATATGCAATACATTGATCTTGAGCTGCAGTAAAGACTTTTTTCGTGTTTTGTTGTTTCCATCAAGCATCCACGTTGGTACAGTATGGATTCGCTGAGTATTGGAATCTCTCGCCGTCAGAGGACACGAATGGTGAGCGGGTTTTCTGAGTATATTTTACACTTTTTTTCACACTTTCTCAAAGATCATATGCAATTGCACTCGTGCTGTTGGGATACGGTCGTGTCACATTCTCTCCATAAACGGACATTATGAGTTCTCCACTTTCAAAAATCATGACTGGGTTGAAAATTGACTATACATCAAAAGAGGCATGTGTATCGTCTGAAGCGAGAGAAGAAGAAAAAAAAAAAGGAAATCTCCTTCGGATTTTCGCAGAATAATACCCGAGATCAGTACATACCTATGTATGCAAAGGCTTACGCAAGTCAAGCAAGCAGATGGGACTGTTCCACAAGAGTACATGAATTCTCGAGCATGGGCGCAACTGAGATTTCAAAGCGATGATGCTCAAGAAAGGCGACGTTCTGGATACTCAACTATGTGCCCAATCACCAAATATGGTGGGGTTTTCGCATGGATGCTAACATTCAATACATCCTACACAATGTTTTTGCAAACGTCGAGAACGTTGGAATTGTACATGATAAGTAGGCCCCTAGTCTACCTAGTCTATGCCGTTTAGCGGCCCCACGAGCACCGAGACGAGCGCCATTACTAAGACACCTAGGCTCTAGATTAGGCCTAGCTGCCGCGGTTTTCAGCGGTTCTCAACCACCATTTGTGCTTTGCTCGGCCTGACATGTATGTTCATTCTCCGTTCTCGGCAAAAACGTAATCGGGGTTATTCCCATCTCCATATCAATCAATGCCTCGTGCCATGCAGCTGTCGCCATTCCAATCGCGATTAGATCAAGCATCGCCCAGAGGGCGCGGGTAACGGACGGCGAAATCCAACCCATACACACAATTCTGTACCATTCTCGACTTGCGCTTTTTCTTGTCTTATCTAGAACCTACATATCGATTCGCCGTGTCCGACTTTGGGCTGTGCTGTGGAGGAGTGGCTCATGACTCCAGCGCAGGGCCACGGCCCACGGGCTGCAAATGCGTGAGTGAGGTTCACCACCCCCCATGTGTAAAAAGGGTCTCAATGCTCACCCTTGCATAATCAATCGATAGCTGCGAACAGTGTCGACGGCGCAAAGTAAAATGCTCTGGCGAAAAGCCGTGCAGGAGCTGCGGCCGACATGGATTTGAATGCTCTTATCCCCTGGTAGGCCGCAGTCGTTACTCAGAAGCGTAGGTTATGCAAAGACTCGATTTCCTACAGCGCCACAGAATAGTTGGACTGTTGTTAATATCTGGCTAGTCAAGTTCAAGGCCTCTTGGCCAAGATCAAGCGTTATGAAGAGCAACTTGAAGCAAGCCCTGCCGGTGAGATCCAGCCTGTTCTGCATGAAAGATTGGAAACCGACGAGAAGACGAAGAGCAAGATGGCTGATATCTTGTGGTCACAATCAGCCAGTCATGACTATGTGAATTCAGCCTCTCGCAACGAATCTAGTGGGATGATAATTGCTGAGAATGGTCCCTCGCCTGGTCAACTTAGCCAATCGTCACAATCAAGTATATGTTCGTCCCATACTTGTCACGCTTGCGGTTGTCGAAGTCATGCTGAATTGTAGCAGCGCAGGCTGAGCGAGCATCCGGCCCGGCGTTCGAACGCCGCGTGAGATCCCTCCTGCACAGCCATATAGAATACGATCGAGACGCTGGCGATAATTCCAATGTGCAGCTGGGCTTGGACGCAATCGAGCACCCTGAGCCTGCACCACCGATCTGGACTTCAACGCAGGATTTGCTTCGCAAGGCCCATGGGAGGCCAGACTTGCCATCTGAGCAAGACTCTCATCGACTACTCGGCCTTTTTCTGTCATACATGGGCGTGAATCAACATTACCTCGATCCCCGCACCTTTGTCGACACAATGGCAGAGCTTTTTCAAAGTCCAACAAGCCGTCTTCATCAAATGAAGACCATGTGGTTCATACAGTACTTATTAATCATGGCCATGGGCAAGCTGATGGATACGGATACCGAGACATCTGGGCCTCATCCGGGCGTCTCATATTTTGCCGAGGCGATGCGACTTTTGCCTCAACAATATGAACTGGGGAGCCACGGCGTGATTTCAGTCGAGATCCTCTGCCTCGTCGCGCTTTATCTGCAATGGTGTGATCGAAAGCATGACGCATATCTCTACGTTTGTATGCCCAATTCCTGCGGGATCACCTTGTTCTTAACATGCTCTACAGGTTGGCAACGCTGTTCGTCTAGCCATCGCATTGGGCTACCCGCTGCCTGCTCGAGAGCAGCAGTGTCCTCCGTCTCAAAAGGCACATCGGAATAGGGTCTGGTGGACAGCATATATGTTGGACAGGTGCGTATAACCTGCATTGACAATTTCTGCTCATGTATTAACATGATACTTGCAAAGGCGCATTGCTGCAAGTTTGGGGTTGCCTGTGGCTGCCGATGACCGGCAATTTGCCACGGAGCTTCCCTTGACATCGCCTGGTTTTGCATCGCCTGATGCGCTTGGTATCAATGTTCGCATTGCCCGCGCAACTGGCGATATCATGACATGTAAGTCTGGCTGAACATTCTTTCTGCAAAACGGACATTGACTGGCAGTCTCGTGATAGCGCTGTATGGTAATGCTGCAGTAACCGAAATGGAGCTTGTCCGCAACATTCAGGCCATTTTATCGTCACTGTACAATACTGGACATTGCATTCCAACAGAGTATACAGTCGATTTCGCGTCCTCGCACCTCATCGTGAGTAGAACAGCCGCATCTCTGTATTTGATGCTTTTTCAGGTATGCCATTCCTTGAGGTCAAAAGCTTTTCACCTCTAAAAAATAATAATAATAGGCCATTATCCTTTGCATCAGGCCTGTTCTTTTACAAAGAGTCAAGGAAAAGGTCATTTCCACTCTCAAGCGAAGTCCAGTCCCCGAGGTCCCTGTCGTTATACATCGGTTATGCTCTACTTGCAAAGAGTCGGCGAGTAAGAGCCTCAGGATTGTGTCTGCGCTGAGAGAGCAACATGAAGTTGGTATGTGGTCAAATACAAAGCTCGGCACACTTGATACAGCCAAAAGTCTAATCCAATAACAGCGCGATTCGGGTTTTTCGACCTGGACCAGACATTCTCTGCGGCCTTGACCGTAATCATGATTGGTTTCGTCGATGGAACCGCCTACTCCGAGGTTTCCAAGGAGCTTCAACAAGCCACCAGCGTCCTTGAGTACTTATCCCGAGCTGGTAACAGCTCCGCTGAACAACGTCTCATAGAGATAAGAAATTTCCATGATCACGTTTGGCCCAAGAAGTCGGCGGGACGAGACAAGACCATGGCATCACCAACCAATAGATTTGATAACACATTGCCGGTACTTGAACATTCCTCGCCCGACGAGCGTCCTCGGCAATCGACATCTACAAGCGGAGAACCCACCAGTGCTTCGCAGGCGCCTCCTACGGGCGATTTGGGTGTACAGTTAGAGATTGGAGCTGACTATGCATTCAATCTAGACTTGGGCGAGGAGGCTGACGGCATATACTCTAGTTTCCATGATCCACAACTTCCCTTGACAGGAGTTGATCATTTGGATTGGGCAGAACTAGAGAAAGTTTTCGCATCCACCCAAGCATAGTTTCCTCTCCTCGGTCGACAAGCTCATTGGGTTGTAGCCTTACTGGCCGACTAGGTCAGAAAAGTCGATGCAGAGATGTTCAACTCCGCCCATCAACAATCGCGCAAAAGTCGCACGCGTGTCCGCCTCGCTCCACTACATACCTCGCATTGGTGGTATATACTCGTGCGCAGAGAAATCACCTTTTCGCATGATCATTGGGTGAGCGCCATGAGGCCAACGACCTCGCAAAAATCCTGATGTTTTGCCGAGCCACCTTCATGGGAATTGTGCCGCCACTCCCCCTTAGAAGTGCCCGGTTCATCGAAGAGTTCCATCCAAGGGGAATCAACCAGGTCACAAGACAGTCCATTAGTGAGAGTTGCGCCAACAATGATCAACCTGCTAGATGAACCAAAAGGAATGACGAAACTGGCTTCTGTCCGACCATTGAAGGATGTACCTGTTCCACTCGGACGTGAACAATGCCTTCCCTCCGCTCAACGTGCGCAGCCCATCCATTAGCATGCAGCGCTCGAAACAGAGACACGGCCGATCATGACTTCTGGGTCTCCATCATTCACCGAGAGTGAAAGCGGCCGTCCAGACAAGCAGGTGAATCAAGTCACCTTTGGACCAGAGGGCAATTCATCACTGGCAAGGATCCCAACACTGCCCTCATGTATAGAGACTCTGCGGCGCAACAAGTTGTGACATCGTCAACCTGCATGCTCTCATGCTGCCGGGAATCTTTCTCGGCTGCGGCTGCCGGCAAACTATTTACGCGGGCAAGTAAGCAGCGACAAATCTCTTCACTGGAAAAGGACGTTGACAACTCTGCAATGTTAGTCGGGGTCAACCAAGACCATACCCGGTAATAGTATAATGACTAAGCGGATGGAGAATGCTCAACTCTTGCCTGGAAGTCCTTTGTAATTGAGAAGTTCCAAGGGCTGTATTTTTTTTTTTTCTCTTGGCTTGTTCCGTCAATTCCGGCTTGGTACTTGGACGTCCCCTTCTCAATGAGGGTCACAGCCGTAACTTGGAAGGAGAAGAAGAAAAAAAAGCTCGTAATCAGGTTCTTCCTTTGCATTTGCCACTTCCGAGCAATTCTCTCATCATTCTTTAAACCATTAAGACAGTGCCAGCTCATTTTCCAAAAACGAGTAAGATCGTATGTTGGAATCGAATAAGGGAGAGGGGCGAAAAGGTATAATACACGAGTGGAGCACAAGGCAGGTGAGGAAAAAGAATAAAAATACAGCAAACACACCTTAACATGACTCGAGTGCCCGGGAAACCTTGTCGGCTGCGTTATAGAGGGGAGAAGGGGAAGAAAAACTCTCTAAGCGATCTGCTTTGACCCTCGCCCTGGTTTCTTTCAGGTTTTGAGTTTCTTTCCATTCTGGTTTTCCCACTCTTACCTCGGTACATAGTTTGCCTTTTTTTTTTTCTTTCTCAAGTTGTGTAACATTGTGCAATTCATTTACCTCTCTCTTTCCCTTTCGTCTTGTGTAGTGTTATAATCAAACTGCCCAGGGGGGGGATAAAATGTGACATGGCCTTATAAGTATTTGACCCTTTTTGTTTTCTGGAGGCGACATGAAATGTTCTAGAATACAACCACCCAGGCCCCGGTCTTGTTGAGCGTGTCTGCAGGAATGAGAGACAAGTGTGTCGGAAAGGTGAAAGTCCTGTTCCCCGAGCAAAAGGGTTTTGCGAGGCTGGGTCAATCGTACGTGCACGTGTATTTTTGTTTTGTTCGCCACGAACCTTTTTCCATCTTCTCCCTTCATACGCCGTGTTGCCTTGGGAGGGACCCGCGCAAAAAGGGAAAAAAGGCAGGAAAGGTAAGGAAGGTTTCCGCTGTCAGCCTGATATAGCTCCGCTTCGTATCCATCTCGACTATCCGGCACATTCACTCGAATCTAGGCAGTGACGTGACGGACCAGTTGACATGGCCGGACTGGAGAGTGTATGGGAAAGAACAGGAACCAGGGCCTTGCTTTGAAATGCATCATTTGTCGATCTAGAACTTTGCAGTATTGCAGGTGACGGAGTTTATGCAGCACAAAAGGCTTTTTGACAGAATAGCATATGCAAGCGATGAGCTGTATTTCCTTCCTTGATATCAAGAAAGTTTGGTCAAACAGTCAAAGAACGCCTACAAATAAGTTGGCGCGGTGGACGATCATCCTCCACTTATTGAACACACGCTGCGCGGATGCACCTAGTAACACAATAGCAAGAATCTCTTTTCACTGCTAGTTCCAACGTCTCTCTCTCTCTCTCTTTCTCTCTCTCACGGAGTGGTTCCATCTAATGAGAATCAAAAATTCCGAAAACGCCGGGGCCATGCCAGGCCCAAAATGCCCATCAATCCGTGGATGATGGCTATCCCAATGCTTGTGGTGAAAGTTTGCGAAAGTCATAAACAGCGTGGGGTATATCTTGGAACCCTCTTCTCTTTTTGTCGAAAACCCAAGTCCATACCTCGTATCGTACGCCATGCCATGGATTTGTAATGCCAGTGTCAATCAATGGTCGAAGTTCGTGTTCCAAACCAACAACTGAGTCATGCAGTGCATCTTATCCCTTCGCACGGGGCGAGTGGCCTTTGATGATGATGCATGTATGCTGAAGAAAATAATGATGATAAAGTGTATGGAGTCTGCCTTTCTGACGACTCGTCACTGCCGTGGCGAATCGCTGGCACAAGTTATCGTCGTCATCGGAATGATCCGATATAGTAGTACAGGCCAATGCTTTGCGTATTGACGTTGCGTTGAGCCCGGGGGGTATTGTGTCGCTAAGTGGTGATTATGTCGGAACATCACTTTCGGCCACGGGAGCTGGTAGCTGTGATCTTTGACGTGCTCATCAGGTCGCCAATGTACTTTTGCAAGAATTTGTTGTTGCTGTCGAGCTTGTCGTGTTCCTCCTTTACTGCTTCGATGCGGCTAAAGATCATGAGCAGCGAGTCTTGCAAGGCTTTTGCGTGTCTGCAGTCACGTTAGTTGGGTATTACGAGAATACAAGAACAGCGCGACATGCGCCCAAGACAAGGAGAGCTTACCTGTGCAATTCCTCGCGTGCTTCCCGGCCCATGTTTTCAAGATCCTCGCTCGTTCTCCTGGGACTCATGGCCCTGACATCACCTGGCTCAAGTTCTGTGGGAATCGGGCCAACCTGGTTAGAGTCGCGGGGGACAATAAGTGTACCGCTGCTCTTGCGGCTTGGGAGCGGCGGCCGTGTAGGAACGGGCATCTGGATTTCAGGGTCGTGTCCTTCGTGGACTTCGTGAACCTCGTGACCATCCATAGAAGATCCCGATGAGGAGTCGGACCTTTCAGCGCGTGGGGGTAGGGCAGTCTCCTCCATGATTCTATGTCGTAGTCGATGTTTCAGCGGATATGTATATTTCGCAAGTAGCCGAGAATAGTGGTTGAGAAATTCGGGCACAGGTAGCTTTTGCTTGCGAATACTCGTCGACGATGGAGGCGGATTATGGTCCGAATTGCCTTGGCGGTTGTCGCGAGGCGGTGATGCGGAATAAGGATTGACGGACGAGGTCAACCTTGAGACGGCGGTCGAGTAAATACGATTGGAAAGGAGAAGGGGGGGAGAGGTATAAAAAAAGTAGTTATAGGTGCGCCTTCGTGTGTTTGAAGCTGCAAGTACTGAGCGAGCAAATGCAAGATTAAAAAAGGACCCTATCCACGGCGGCGGAAGATGCACGGTGTGAGGATGCAGCTTTGGTGTGTAGGTAGCTTTTGGCTTTGGTTTTTGGGTGCAGGTCAAGTCAAGTCGGGGAGGGATCAATGGACAGGATGGTGGGATGCGGCTAAGCGACGGTGTGCATTGGCTTTCCCGTGGGCTCGGATTCGCTGTAGTGGAAGTAGTAGCAGTAGCAGTATACGGTGGTAAGAGAGAATCTGCTGAGGACGACGAGTTTCTTTGAGTCTTGCCTCTATATGAGCAAAGCAAATCGACTGACGTCCTCGCGTTGTGTGGATTTGATTGAAGAGGGAGGTTCTTTTTTGTTTCTCCTGTTTTTTCGCAGAAAGAAGGGAAAAAAGATCAGGCCAAGACACCCTTGGTGCTGGGGGAGAGGGAGGAAGGCGGAATCGTAGCGTTGGGAGCTTCCACGATAAAAAGGGAGGCAGAGTGACTGGAGGCAACGGCCTGGGAAAGGGTTCGCGGGTCGAGGGTCGTCACACGGGCCAGCTAAACTGTGTGGCTCCTAGTCCTGGGTACTACTACGACTCTGGTCACTTTTATTTTTTTTATTCTTTTTTTTTTCCTTCGAGCGACGCGAGCGATTGTCAAGTAAATTTGGGGCAAGCGGAGCATTTGCCATAGGTGTCGTAGCGATCGTCATTCAGGGCCGACAGCTGACCAGGGTACTGGAGCTTTGGGCCTCTCACAGCACCCATTCAGAGCCAACGGTACCCAGGGGAGATGAGAAGAGCACAGAGTCGCCCCCCCCCCCCCGGTTTTAACTCTTCTCTCTTCTCCTGTGACTCGTGGGTCTGCGCACCGATCGGCGCTCTGGGAGTGAGGGACAAAGATGGAAAGAAGCATCGAAGAATATGAGAAAAAAAAAAGTGCACGCGATTTAGGGAACGGGAAAAAAAAAAAAAAAAAAAAAACCAATGATCTTTTCCCCTGAAGCAAGAAAAAAAAATACTTAGTACATGAACTTTCCACTTCCTACGTGTCGAGCTTAGATATTTCTTATTACCCGCCTAATCCTGGGGATGATACAAAAGAAAGCCGAAAAGCGCAACGCCCAAAGGTAATTCTCACTGACGATCGATTGACGATGACGATGATTTCCCAACCGCCGCCTTTGCCTCACCTTTTCAATCTGATGACTCTGACGTACGGATATGGCCGTCGTATTATTTGATGGGGATTGCTGGTTTGCGTGTCCCATTGACTCGGAAACTCGATAATTGCAAATGACCTTTTGAATTGACCATCGCCATTTACGTTAGTCACCTGACAGCTTTTTCTTCGACATGCTTGCGTGGAAAAAGCTCACGGGCAATTTCACACATGTCTGCTAGTGTACCATCAAACCGGACTATTATGTTACATCTAGTACGGGGAGCTCAGGCCGGGTATTATTAGGGGTCCTGTCGGTCTGCTAAAAGTGTATCTAAGGTAGGTCATGGTAGGCTCTAACAAGAGCAAGAAGAAAATAAATGAGCTGGTCGTCAACGTGACAGATACTGTATCTTCTACACTGTGTTTGTTCTACAGCTGCTTCCATGCTGCACTAAAAACTTGACTGCTACTACATTACCCGACTCATCCCAGCACTTTGAACTAAACTGTTGCTCCGTCTCCCGCCTCGATACTTGGACATGTATACAGGGCCGATAGGTTGGGGTAGAGTAACCTCCCGTGGTATGGCGTTGGCGCAGATGAGGATCTGGATATCTTTGCTTGTATGCCTATTCATTTGGGTTATCTATCTCGTCTATCTGTCGGTCTGTCAACTTATCTTTCTAGTCAGGGGCCTCGACGTCCATTGGTCTATATTAGCAGGATGACAGGCAGGCAGGCAGGCAAAGTAATGTGTAAAATATCTATGTGAGTATGTATGTATGTACATGCATCAAACCTGAATGACAAGCCAGCCATGAGTTGGTGCAGGTAATCACCCTTGAAACGGCCAAAAGACCCTGCAGCGTACGTACTTGCATGCCTCAATGTGGTCAGCTGCCAGGCGCAGAGATCCCAATGTCTCCATGACCAGTGAAATTCACCCAACTCAAGGATTTTCCCCGATCATCGTCCACTTTAACACTAGGGAAATAACACGCAGCAGCAGCAGCTACCACGCCGACAAGCAAGTAATAAAGAGGCAAAACTGTAGTACTATGTAACTGAGTGCCTTGAGTGTAACCCACGCAACCACGAGGGGGAAAGAAGGGGAAAAATAAGTCAAGGTAAAGAAAAAGCCCTAGCGGCCTGCCATTCACCAAGGAGCGATCGGCGCTTGTGACGCCACTAGATCCATTTATGATTTGGCGTCACGTTGAATCCCTGCCACAAGTTCGTTGTGATTCCCAAATAGGTATGCTCAGATGGAGAGTGTCATGGGCGGATTTGTGGAAACTGAGCATGGGATTCTGGCGTTTGCTGGGTCCTGACCGCCACCACAGCGAATTAGAGCTCGTCCTTTAGGTCGCAGCGGCTCTTCCTTTTCCTTCGCTAGGGGTCCAAAGGTGGTATTGTAGCCAAGGTCCGGTCCTGTTCTTTGCCTGTTTCTTCCCCCCCGGTGAGCGCCGGCCGCACCAGTGAGAGGTAACAACCAGCAAAGCACCCGCAACGCAGCCACCCCAACCCAAGCGGAGAGAGCCAGCAGCAGTGGAACGCTGGATGGGCATGGCATGGATAATCAAGGGGGCGTCACGACTGCCTCAACTCATCGCTTGGGGCAAAAGATTGACGCTTCCCTCAGCCCAGGTCTGTTTTGAACGCAAGTCGCAGTAGAGCGCCATACGATCCGTGGTCACGGAGCAATGACGACAAAAAAAAAAAAATCCATCGCCAAATTTGCTGACGCAGCCCAACCTCATCTCTGTGCGACACAATGGAAACATATGGTTGATAGCTACTACTTACAAAGGCGACATCACAAAAGACTGCTCCTGTCCGAGGTTGGAAGAGATTCCTCCTAAGGGCGGATCGCAACGACCCCGTTATTGTGAAAAGTTGTGTGATCCGAACATCTGGGATGCGACAACTGGATCGCTCGAGTCAAGCTCCATTCGGGCGGCTACGGCTACGGCTTAGGAATCCGGCGATAACATGAGGCTGTCTATGTTGCCCATGATACAACACACAGATACACTAAAAGCACAGCAAGAAAAAAAAAAGAGTCACGATGCCCCCCAAAGTTCTGTCAGCATAAGGTATTATCCTGGTCGTTCCCACCGTTGGGATTCGCAACCACAACCCACCACACCTTGAACACAAATGAGACCCCGGCACAAGGTTGCTACCTAAACACCAGCTTTTCTTGGGAAGCACCAGCAAGGAGGAGGGATAAGGAGGGGAGCAGAGGTATCTGTTCATTACGGGCACGGAGTACAAGATACCACTGCCCTAGCGTGCACTATTCCGTACGGAATACGCCATCATTCCATTACCTCTCACGCGTTGTGGGTGGACCCTGAAATCCTCAAAAGTGCTGTAGAGTTTTCGACACTGCTCCAGCTTGTGTGCAATCACAACGGTCATTCTCCATTACCTAGAGCCCATTAGCACCAGCGAGAAGGAACAACTTTACTCTATCCAACCTAATAGCGACTCGATCAGTCAGGATGAGCCCTGGCACTCAAATTGCAAACGGTTTCTAGCAATGAGAAAATGGCAAAATGGCAAAATGGCTCACAAAATGCGAAGGGCGAACCGCGATGCCGCCGCCACCCTTCCAGGATTGCTGCTTGTCGAACCGCCAAGGCCCAAGGGACCACCCCGCTGTTCAAGCACAATCAAGCTATCGTGAGCTGTGTGATGTCATGATCATTCCCCGGCACTTGGCACAGTGCCGCGTTTTCCGCCCACCCACGCATCTCGAGCAACTCAGTGCTTTGTACAGGGCTTCCTTCAGCACTCGCTCAGGGCACTGTCAGTCCTTGACCTGCTGACCACACTCTCAAAAGCTCATGTTTTATACAGTGTGAGAAATATGGGTTTTGACGGTATTCAACTTCCTCAAGACCGTACCTTGGCAGTCTTGAGACATTTTTCAGTACTCCATGGTCATATCATTACCTCCAAGGGAAGGTATATCAGCAATCCTCATCATAATCGCATGAAGAGCAACAGGCCGCTTCTCGGCAACTTGGCAGCCGCTAGCAACAAAACACACTCCCAGACGACAGACACAATCGGGTATTGGCCATCTATCCCTGATCATGGTCGAATGTATCATACGGCTTTGAATGTCCATGGTCATTTCTCAAAACGATTGCTCCCTGAAAGAAGTCGAATATCAAGATTATCATTGGAGGCTCAGCACTGTTTTTCTTTTTGCCCTCTTTGCCCTCGAGCGTCAAGGCTCTTGGACGCGATGACGACATTTGCTGACTGTGCCTTCTACCCACGGTCGGGAGTGGGCACATGAGGTGTAACCCTTCTTTTATGCTGTCCTACTCACAAAATGTGACATGTACTGCTGGGAACGCTGCGCCCATTCGCTGAACACCCCTCAGATTGACTCTCCGCGGGCAGCCCCCCGAGTTGGAGTCGGCATGATACCGATGAACTCGGTGACATCACGATGCTTGGAACGTCAGCCCCTTTTTTCCCTCGTCGTTGAAAGGAGGCATGGAGGTAAGACATTGTCGATTCTCCTGCAGTTCCAATGGACGAATATGTAGCAATCGTTATTACGTGCACTGGGACACCTGAAACTCCCGTGTGTCGGTACGGAGTAATCTCTACTTTATTTTCCTGCCAACTGTCTCTATGTAGGTAATGAATCGCGCCTATGGACTTTTTAAAGTGGGAACGGAACTGTCACGGTCACAAGAGGGGAAAGCTGGAAAAAATAAACCCTTGCCAGAAGCGTTCAAACTTACATGGCATTCTGGCTTCAATGCAGGAACCTCATCTCCAGCAGGATTCAAACTTGATCGGCTTTTTGAGCCCTCATCGAAGAAAATGATGATGATAATAAATACCACACACAAACACGCAGGCGGGCGCACGCTCCCAGCGCGACTGACTACTAATACTACTACTACTACTACTACTACTAGACCGCTTGTTCGGCGGTTTTGAAACCGTGTTTGCGCATTGAAGATGTGCAGCTGATCGTCCGCCTCCATCTCATTGATTCGACATTCGGCGGACGTTCTCTACCTCTCGTGCCGCCGATCCTCATCGCTCCCGGATCGTGGAGAGCCAAAAAGAAGCCCTTTGATTTGGGAAGGATTTCCCCTTCCACAAGTGACGTGATTTCCACACCGAGAACAGTTGACCGGTAGCCGAAGACGAAATTCTTCTCTCAGGCCTCGATCACGTGGCCACGAGCAATCATCAAAGTCCTTAGCTGCGAGCAGCACACTGCCCATCACAAGTGATGCCCTCGAAAGCTCTCTTTCTTTGCTGCAGCCAATATGGCGGTGGACAATTAAGCAATTCAATCCAAGCTAAGATGAAAGTACACTCAACTAGGCCCGCTATCTAGTTCAGGATTGGGAAATGGCAGATGACATTTTCCCATTCCGTCAACCTACTAGTAGCTGCTTGTTCCCCCTCTAACCGTTCATGGTCCCCGTACAGTAACCGCACACACTGTCTGTTTGTCCCCTGCCCTGGGGGCAGGCAGGGCGGCAGCATCAGATACACTAGAGCCTAATGGCTTTTCTGCTTCGGTTCTCGATACTATCATGTTTTGGTTGTTCGGCAGCCCAACCGGCGAGCGAGCGGGCAAGCGGGAGGTAGAAGCTTTTCTTTCCCAGGTGCGCTGCTACTCCACTGTCGGTGCTTCCTTGGTCGTATTGTGGCTCAAGAAAAATTGCCCAGCAGACCCTTTCGGTTCGTCCGTTCCTCTGTCTGGGTAACAATCGCGTGTGCGCGTGTGGAGACGCTGAGCCAATGTCGTGTCCAACATGGCTCAGCTTGTTTTTCTCTTTCAAGTGGACTCTAGGGACTTGAGAATGGGAAGCTCCCAAGAAAAGGCAGATTCAGGGAGTAACCAAGTGAAATCAAGCTTGGGAAGAAAATCCGCTCCTCCTCCTCCCCCTTGTACAGGAGGAAACGTCTCCATCGGCCGATGCCTTCCGTGGGGGCTCCTCGAGTTTCGTGCCTAGAGAGGTACCGTAGGACTTTTTTTTTTTACTTGTTCCTTGCAAATGTGATCTCTAAAATCTTTGACCGAGGCCTAATTTCAGAAGCCCCGTAGGCAACACGCAACTTACGGAACCATACCCGGGGGGCACGCCAGGCATCGTGAATCCCGGGTTTCCGATTCCCCATCAGCTGACATGTGTTCGGGAGAAGCCCACGTGAGGGCCCTGGCATGACGATTTTTTTTTTCTGGCCTCCCATACAAACACCAAAAGGAAAATTCGCCGCTCTATCTCGTGATGATGGTAGCATGAATGACGGCGCCCATTTTTTTCGTACTCTGTACTCCTCTTGCTACAACGCCACCCGGCTGATCAAGCAGGCTGAGTTCAAAGTCCCGAGTTCACCCACCGTATCCGTATTTTCATGACGTGTCGCTCACGGAACAAAGACGAGAATGAGAGGACAGAGAGCGAGAGAGGCTGTGTTTTTTTTTTCAGAGTCACAATACGACCGAGCTTCATCTCCATTCTCGCTCTTCTCTCGCGCGCCCTGTCCTTTGTTAGACGCGTCCCATGATGAATCCGCATCGTCCGCTCCCCCCAAGGCCCATGATAGCTTTCTTTTGAGCAATGTTCTCTTTACAGATCTTTCCCCCATCCCCCTTCTAAACAAAGTGGGGTGGGGTTCTTCTCGCGTTTCGAGCGGGTCTTTTGGTGTTCTGTTTCCAGATCATCTCCTGTTTTTGTGTGCAAGATGAACAAAACTCTGGAGCCTGATTTTCGCTCTTGGGCACTGCGATTTGCATGCGCCAGACCAGTAAGTAGGTACATGGACGTTTCATGGGAGGAAAAAAAACCCCCAGGGCAAAAATAGAAGGTTCCATTATCCCCATCCACCTCATCGCCATTCCCGCTTCTTTCCCACATGGCTGATGGAAAGGATCGCCTGTAGTGTATAGAACATTCGGCAATGCCTTTTTCGAACCCAAGGAAGAGCTTATGGTTAAAATGATATTGAAAAAATACCCGTTCCAAGCCCATATCGGGACATGTTTGAGTAGATCATATGAGGCACACAGATCATGTCTCCGTTGTAACAGATCAATAGTATTTCGGCATGCCCGCCTTTGCTCGGCGAGAGCCGTCCCCGGATCCTCCAAGGCTTGCCTGTCTGGGTATTATATAGAAGCTATTATAAACAGCAGCTTGTTAGCGGCGGGCTGTGGAAATGCTCAGACGATGCAGGGAGGGCAATGAAGGGCTCCCATGAGATGTGGTGATGATGGCCACTAAAATCCAAAGTTGCGAGAGTGACTCATTACAACTGGATCATGGAAAATGTACCAGGGAGGACCAAAAACAAAATAGACCTCACAGCGCATACCTAGAGAACGATTAGGAAAAGAATGATTGAAAATACTGTATTCACAGAATAACAAATATGCAACAATGGATATAATCCAAAGGCCAACTATGGAAGAGAAAAAAATTGCAAAAAAGAGAATCTCCGAATCGGGGAATCGAACCCCGAGCTCCGCGGATTTGAGAATCGATGAAATTCTGAAAACGCGAAATGTTGACCGTTACACCAATTCGGATTGGTTGTTGATGAGAGAATGCGGCTTATGCAAACCTATGACACGCAGATTGACATTCTCACCCCAGCTAAGCATTCCTCTGGGGCATCTTCGCGGCAACACTGAAAGAAAGATGGGCAAAACTTCACAGTGGGTTGGATTGCTTAGTGGATAGCACTAGTTCAAGTCAATTTAGCAGCCGGGGCCACCCAAAGTGAGTGGTGACACTTACACACGTGTTGGTCCGCTAAAGTGGTTACATGTTCCCGAAAGGTCAAATTAATAGACCGAATACTTGTGCATAAACGACTACTTCTCTCAAACCTCGGTATAACAACAAGATGACAGCAGCTGATTCGTGAGATATACTCCTTTGCGCACAGGTTTCAGTGTCGGCATTATAATCATTGTCAAGATTGAATGAAGCTGCGAGAATTCCCACCGTATTTGACAAGCCGTCGTTCTAATCAAGTGCCATTAGAGATACCGTTTCAATGATATACGCATCAACGGCAAAATGACATCGTCTGTATGCCCCCTTTGGCGGATCATCGATAGTCATCCTCTTATAAAGATCAACGACTAGTATGTATGTATGTATGCGTCACAATAAGTTGTCATGTATCTGCAGGTTGTCATTTGCCCTCTCAAGCGTGGCGTCATCGAATACATGGTGCCGCTTAATTAGAGTAGTCTTCAATTTCCAACAACCAGTGTCAAGGTTATATGTAGAAGGATCTGCAAACAAAGTAGCATATACTCTCCCGTTTGTGCATCTTCAGAATGCTTCCTTTCAAACGAGGGTCAGCTTCTCTGCGGCCTGTGTTTGGGCACAACAAGTCATCGACTGGAATAATCAGAATAATCAACCATAGACATCCTGTATCAAATCAAGTTCTTTGTAAATAACTGCATAGTGAAGAAAGAAGAAACGCAATATCATAAGACGGGGTGTTATGCGCTTTTGCATACAGCTTTTTGAATGATAACAAGATTAGTTAAGACTGACCAGATACATCCAGCAATAACGATTGGCCATCATGTCTCGTTGAAAATGCAGATTGTGCGTAGGTTCGAATTTACCATGAATCGATAGTGCAGTGACCTTTACTGGCATGACTTACCACATGCATATATAGCCTCAAGATTTATCTCTTTTTCTTTTTCTTTCAGTTTACGATTTTCTATACTTAGAAAGGAATAAAATAGTCAATGGATTATCAAATCTTTCAATATCCAAGTGAGAATTTGCCGGTTGAATCTGCAAATGATTTCTCCGGTCATCGTGACTTTGATATAGATGTAATCATTTCCCTAGTGAAAAAGCCTCTCGTTATCGCTATTCTCAACTCCAAGGGCCAAATTGCATTTTTGGCCCTATAAACATGACGGAGCAGAAACTTGTGATTACTCTATATTCCACCATCCATCTCATGGGTCCATATGTGTGCTCCTGAATGTGCAATTACGATTCACAGGTTCTAAATAACAGCACGCCATCAGATGAAAGCAATTTCTACTGACATGAGTTGTCGCGATCAAGGCCAGCAGCAACTCGATCCAAACCTTTCGTGGCTTATGATCATCAAAACACATTGCTTCGATCTTTCCTGGTTCCCGTCCGACCCACGAATCACATTCGTATTGCTTGGACGTCAATAATATTACACTGCCTGCTTCATAAATACAGAATCCGCCAAGAATCTTCCGTCATTTATCGGAGGCCATGCTCAATTCTGTTTATAGTCGTAGCATACATGGGCCATGGCCTGCTCGTAGAGGTGAAGGGTTATTGAAATCATCAATTTCTTTCATAACAAATACTTTGTTTGAGTCACGGTCATTATCTCATATAAATTGCTACAAGCCCTGGCCCCCTTCCTATTTCCTTGCCTGCCAAAAAGCAACCTTGACACCATCGCCCGGCTGGAGCACAATCTCGGCCTTGAGGGTAGGCTGGCCGCCGTCGACCTCGTGCATGAAGCTCTCGACCCTCTCAAACCTCTGAAACAGGCGCGTGAGCACATAGCCCATCTCAGTGAGGGCGAACTGCTGGCCAATGCAGATGCGCGGCCCGCCGTTGAAGGGCACGTACTGCCAGGGCTTGGGCTGCCAGTGGAACCAGCGCTCGGGGCTGTACTCGAGGTAGTGGGCAAACTTTTCGCTGGGCGGGGGGTAAAAGGCCGGGTCGCGCTGCATGACGAGGGTGCTGTAGCCAATGGGCGTGTCCTTGAGGATGGGAATGGGCTGGGATCCGTCGGGGCCGCCGCCGCGCGGGAGCGTCGTGTCCTGGAGGGCCAGGCGCACGTTGAAGGGCACCACGGGGTACAGCCGCATGGTCTCGTTCATGACGTTTTGCAGGTACTTCATGTTCTTGAGGTCGTGGTACGTGGGCTTGCGCTCGAGGCCGACCTGGTGGATGATCTCGTCGCGCAGCTTGCGCACGCACTCGGGGTGGCGGCTGAGCTCGTAAATGGTCCACGAGAGCGTCGAGGCCGTCGTGTCGCGCCCGGCCAGGAGCACGGCGACGAGCTGGTCGCGAATCACCTTGCGGTCCCGGGTGAAGAGTGCGAGCTCGTGCAAAAAGGTGTACCCATTATCGGACTTGGTCCTGGTGGCGAGCTCCTCGGGACTCAGCTGCAGAGCGCGATCAATGTAGGTCTCGCAAAGCTTGTTGATGACCTTGAGACCGGCGCGGAAGGACTTGAGCGGTATCCAAGACTGCAGCGGACCAGCGCGAGCACGAATACTCTGGACCCTTTGTACTTCATTGAACGCGTCGGCAAACTCTTGACGCGGTGTCCTGTAAAGGCATCCATTAGTCAACTGGATTCAAGTTGCTTGCACAGTATTTGAAGCACTCACGTGAGAGACTGAACATCCAGGCCTAGTAAAAAGTCCGTGGCGACGTCGAGAGTATATCTAAAGAACAAGTCACTAATCTCGACAGTCTTGCCGTTGCCAGCCTCAATGTCGACCTTTTGGTCCGCCCCGTTGAGCGCCTGACCATTGGCAATGGCTCGAAAAAGCGTGTCGAGATGCGATTCGAAGCAGTCCAAGTCACTGATGCGCTCCCGGACGAATTGCGGTCGAATCAGCTGCCTGCTGGCGTGCCACTTGTCTCCGTCGGTGACAAAGATACTGTCGCCGAGGAATTCAGACCACTCGCGATGGAAAGGCTCGCCCTTGCCGTAGTCACCAAACTGTGATGCCAAGATAGCCTTGATGTTCTCGGGGTCCGAGGTGAAGATGAGCCGCCGACCAATGATCTTGCCTTCGGCGGTCATTCCAGGGACATCCTTAAACAGAGTATACCAAGATTCGAGATTCTTGTGACTCATGGTGGCCTTCACCTGTCTCTTTACAATATCAAGGCCTGCGGTATTCGTCAGATAATTGATACATGCTGGATGCCTCAGAAGGGGCTAGACTTACCCCAAGGCAATCTCGCCTTGATCTTGGGCGCAGGGGCACCTGCTAGACGCCGTAGACGTTGCCTCTTCTCAAATGAAGTGGCTATCCTGTATAGAACATAACTGACGCTGAGAAAGACCAGCAGCCCCTTGAAGGAGACATTCTCAAAGATGAGTTCAGTGAGGCCCATGTTGACGTAGGTGCGCAGATTCCTGGGTCGACTTCCAGAGGTGACTGGTGATTAGATGGAAACGTTTATAGAGAAGTAGTAAACTCTTGATTGAGGTTGTCCAGTTTCACGGGTACTGATTCTTCATGAAATGGTTGACAATAACAACAATCGCTCTGGACTCAGAATTACAGCATGGGGTGATCAATTGGTATAGCGCACCCCAAGGTCTAGTGTTGAACAAGAGGTCGGGCAAAGCTGAAAGTTATATAAAAGCGTCGTACAACAATGAGCAGCACGTTCAACGGCTGTGAGTGCGCCTCCAGCTCATAGGTAATTCAAGCATGCGCATGCGACACTCGAAACTGTCGACATGGAACGTGCGAAATTGTGACTATGGCTTCGGGTTTCGGGTGTCGATCGCGAATCGGAGTGGAAAGAGAGAAAAACTAGTCCTGCACAAATGTCACTTTACCCCAAGCGGCGGAGGGGGGTTTTGTATGTTAAACTGAGGAAAGAAGAAGGCACAGGTCTAAACAGATTCGTAGCTAGTCGCAGTCGACTGACAAATGATAGTCTGGCCTTGCATAGATTAATTCCCACATCAAGCGAGAGTCCCTTGGGTCCGAGCATAAGAATACCCTTTTACTCTGAATTGTTCTTTTGCTCTTTTGCTCTCTATGGCGGCGCGCGGCGCGTAGACGAAAGGTGCTAATAATTCGGACAGTTCGTGGGTCCCGACCCGAAAGCTGGGGGAGGATAGACTTGACAAGACTGAGTGATTGGGAATTGGGGACCCTCGGATGCATTCTCCCAGGTCATGATGCACATGTCAGGGTCGGGATCCATTTTATTCAAAAGCCCAGGGGTCGTCATGGACTGGGCGTTCGGCTCTCTTGATCTGATCGTGATTGAGGGGAGATTCATTGGCAACCAAGGAGCTGTCATTGGGGACTGATTGTGAACCCCCCCTGCTGGGGGAGGTCAAGACGGGTCCCAGCAGAAGCTGTTGCTTTTAGAAGAATGATCAAATAAGGAAGAGTATTGACAGATTGCGTGCCGAGGTGCATTTGGATGCGCCTTTGTCCTGTTAGAAGGGGGCATGCCTCAAGTAAGTACGAGTTATGCTGGCCTGGTGCTGCTTTCTTGATTCGCTCAGTCCCGACGTGCAGTTTGAGATACTACCTTGGGCGATATTGAAAGGTTGAAAGTCGGACTGTTACCTCCAATTGAACTTTTGTCACTCCATAACCATATACTCTCTCTGTTTCACTTCAATCTCTTATTTCGGGTCTCTTTTCTGTTGGCAAGCTTGCCTACCTCTATTATACGCCCAGCTGGACTTGGTTTCCCACTCAACAGGATGGTTGGATATGTATGCAAGATCTGGGGATTCCTTTCGAGGTTTCCAACGGCGTCAATCGGGAAGCCGAACCGCATTCCCCATCCGGCCTAGCAACAAGGCGATGCGCCCTGGTCGGGTTTAACAACGGGTCTCTTATTGCCCATGAAGCAGTTCCTAGCATGGGAATTGGGGGAGACTTTTGTTTTCTTCTTTTATATTATTCCATGTGAGTTGTTAGAATACTCCATGAGGTTCAATCTCCATCTCTGGGGAGAAGAGCTGGCTTACTGATCCGTAGCCGTAAAGTAGCAACAGTACATAGTATCATTAAAGAAAGATCTGCAAAGTTACGCAGATCAATCGCGGGGTAAAGGTGTGCACACACACCCACCTCTTTACTTGCTCTGCGGCCACTGCCGAGGTGCTCATGTTCTTGTTTTTGTACACGAACCGATCGCCGAGATCAGCTTGCGCATGATTCAAATTTACCCCTCACAATCATTGAATTCCCATTACCGAGAGTCGAGGGAGTACACTACGACACCAAAAGTACATAAAAGAGACTCTGTGTGCTAAGGGACGCACTTGATGCCAAGTCCCAACCTTGTTGCGCGTGCCGGTGCCATGCATCTCTTCTCGTGAGTGTGGAGACGTTTCCCTTTATCCTTGGGCTGAATATTCAGTCGTTTTCAGCAGTACGTACATCCAATCGCTGTTGAACCCGTCTTGGCAGCCATTTCGGTAGGCTGCGAATGACCGATCAATAGGTAGGTAGTCTCGGATAGAGTTAAGGTAGGCGTATGCATCAGACAACAGACCTCCAGGAATCTATGCAGGCATCCATCAAATCCGTCTTTGAAGGCATCATTCCCTCCATTTATGCTTCTGTGCTCATGGGGCTTCTATTAATAGACAAGGTAGAGTCATGCATCCTGCGGAAACCCTTGAAGATGTCGAGTACTCAGCCAGACGCTCTACTTCAGTATCTAGTATGTGGATTTCTGGTATTTCATCCAAACTAATAGTAGTCATGGGGATTAGAGCCGCATCGCAACACTCAAAGATTCACCTTGTATCGAGAAAGATTGTTGGGTGATGAGTTTTTACACTGCCGTCGGAAGCAATAAAAGGTACTGCGACTTAGGTGTACACAAAACACCCCTACGCTCTGATTGTCAAAAGATGGCATAAGGAATTGGGACAATTGGACATGATTAAGCATTACTAGCAACAAGGACCATTTCCGCGACTGCTAAAATTCCGCCGTTCGTTACACCGGCCAGCTGCAGGTCGACCCATTGCCACCTTGTGTGCAGAACTGCATCTGCACTGGCGAGGCGCCGATACCTCTTGCAACCATGCGTTCTCTGATATCCCACAGCCTAGGAGCCGCCTCAATGGCGCTGCGGTTCTCTCCCGAGGCGGTCAGCCGTCCACTCCAGAGCACCTCACCCATGGCGCTGGCTCGCGGCCAGATCAAGCTGTCGAGGTTCTGCTCGTCGATCAGCTCACTCCATACGGCAGCCTCGCCGCCAAGCACGAGCTTGGCTTGCTCATCTGTCAGATTCGCGACAGGGTTGTGGCTGTAGATGAGTTGCCAGCTCTTGGTCGGGCCACACCAGTCGTTGAAGGGGTAGTATGTGTCAAAAGCCTCGCCATTCTCAAAGTTGAGGAATTGGCCACGTCCACAATCAAGGTACTGTTTTCATTATTAGCAAGGATATTGATCATGGTATAATTACTCAATACCCACCCAAAAGTTGTAGTTGCTGTCAATGACTTGATGGCCGTCACTCGTGAGCTTGGAGATGGCATCGTTGCCGAGCCAGCTCTGTACCACTACATCATCGCCAATGGTGACATTGTAGCTTGAAGGAATCTCTTCCCAAACAAAGGGAATCAGACCAGCCTTCCTGACACGCTCGTGGTTCTTGTCGGTAAACTTTTGCAGCAGCGGGACAATGACTGACGAGTCATTTGTGGCCACTGTAGGGTCCAGGTTATAGACATTAAAGTTGACCTCGTCGCCTCCAGTGTGGAAATACGCGCTGTATGGAGAAACTCGGGGCAGCAAATCATCCATCAGCGTGTCGAGGAAATCGTCAACCTTGGACTCGTTCAGACGGAACTGACCGCAGGGAGGCTCGGCACAGTAGCTAGTCCAAGGAGCGGCACCCCAGCCAGTGATGAGGTCGGGGAAAGACTCGGCGACAATGCCAATGTGGCCGGGGGTATCAATCTCAAGGATAACCTCGACGCCTCGCAAGACGGCATATCTCTGGATATAGTCAATATCCTTGGTCGAGTAGATGGCTACAGGAGCATATGCGCCATTCTCGGTCAGCTCTGGGATAGCCGGGATCTCCAAAGGCCATGACTGGGAGTCGGTGACGTGAAGGTGAAGTCTGTTTAGCTTGTTCTGACTCATGCCATCAATCGTTCGGAGAATGGCTTGGACTGGCATATAGTCCCTAGCCACGTCAAAAAGAATACCTCTGTGAGGAAACTTTGGCGCATCCTGAATGTCAATAGGGGCAAGCTTGGTGTAAATGCTGCCATCTGTATGCTTGTAGAAGAACTGTGTAAAGGTTTCCAGAGCTCGGAGGATGCCTACTGCAGAGACAGCCTCAATCTTGGCACAGCCTTGCAGATCAACAGACAGACTGTATGACTCGTCAACACTACCGCCTACAGGCTTCCACGTGCTTGAGTTGTCTGTCCCAGTCTGGGTGATCTCCAGCTCAGTGATGAGCGTCTTTCCTTGGGTTGCGTTGGGTTGCGTCTCATAAACAGCGTTCCGTGCATAGAGTTTCCAAGGTATGAAGCCTTGATACAGGATAGCATCCAAAGTCCGACACACACCTCCTAGTACAACATCCTGGCTAGAGAAAGTGGAATTCTTCTGCATCAGTGCATTACTTGCAGAATCATCGCCCCATGGAAGCTGCGGAACGGGCCGGCCCAAATTAGTATCGATCACGCCGTAATGACAAGAAGGGTGAGACAAAGAAGACCAGCGTACTATTCCTCCATTATAGGTGACTTGGATACTATGATCTATCCACAAAGTCTGGTCACCTGTACTAATACTCTCTGGTGCTGGCCACACGGCAAAGGTTGGCACCGCGGCAGCGAGCACCGCCGAGACGATTTTGAGAGACCTCATCATAATAATAATGATGATGAGTGAGGACCGTGAGCACTGGCGCTGGTGGAGGTTTGACGATGCAGAGGTAGGTAGATAGGTAGGCCGGCTCTTTGAAAGGCCAAACAGGACCGATCTTAATAAAGTCGGTCTACACCAGATTACGAGGGCCCACTTCTTTTCCGAATGATGATCGACAAGAAGGATGCGAGGTATCTGAGGGTGGCCTTGACAGCAGCAGCGAGAAGAAGGTCGTTTTGACCTTTTATTTTTGAAATATGTAATAAATGAAAAACGAAGGAAGAATATTAAGGATTCTTTCCCTGATGAAAGCACAAGAAGGGAAGCAAGTCTTTGTATGAGAAAGCTTGCAGGGAAAAGGGTCGTATAGCTAAGGTAGTTGCCCCAAGTGCAACCCCTTCATTCACAGCCGCATACGGCCGCGCAGCAGCAGCAACGTTACGTGGGGCCGCTGGGACAGAGTAGACGAAGGCACCGGCGTTTGTGAGTTGGCAGCCAGACAGAGAGACGACGCCAATCGGGGGGCGAATAGAATGGGTTGGTATATGTGGGGGGTAAGCTTGATTTTAAGGTTGCCTTCTATTTAAGGTACTTTGTTCGATTGAATTCATCTACCTTAATAATGATAGGTAGTACGCAGTAGAAGTAGAAGTGGTAGTAGTCTTCCTGCTCGAGTAATTGCTGTGCAAGTCGCTGTCGCGTGTTGGTTGGGAATTGCGGATTATGCAGGGCGAAATTTGGCGGAATGGGACAATGTTCCTTGCCTGGGGAAGACGAACCCGGCAGTCGAGTGCATTCAGCAACCGTAAAAGTGACGGAGCAAAGCAAGTGGAGAGCGCGAAAGAGGCCAAGCACACCAAGCCTTGAAGTTGATGGAGAAATTCAACGGTTGGAAAAAGGCGGTGCTGCTTCCTGAGGAATGCTAATGCTGGCTGCAATTAGGCGGTCGGCAATTTGCGAGATAACCATGGAACTCGATATGAGATGGACCTGGACCCTGGAGGAAAAAAAAAAAAAAGAATAAGAAAAAACGAAATCGTCCAGGCTATTGCTTGTTTCTTGTTTCCCTTGCCCCCCTGTACTTTGTAGTGACCTGCTTTGAATGCTGTGGTTATCAGCTTGAATGTTTGCCCCTGGGATAAAAGGGCAAGGCCAAACAAAATTGCGGGGTTGAAGGGAGGGAAGCAACGGGAGCTTTGGTCAATGACAGCATGGAAAATGGAACAGCCACTGAAAATGCAACTCATGAGTAAGTGAACACACCTATTGACTTTTCGTCTCGAACTGCCCTACCTACCAACCTACCAACCTACCTATCACTACCTACCTGTAATCCTACCTACAGTAGTGTTGTGTAATGGTGGATGAATGTGGAGGGTTGGGAGGCTGAAGGAAGTGAGACCTACTATGCAAGACCGCCTTTTAGCGATGGCCAGAGCCCACTCCTACATGTATACCAGCTGTCGCTATTAGGATTGCTTCCCTTCCTATGTGGCCATCTGGGCGGTCGCAGCGCATCAGGCTATTTGCTCCTCGATAGGTTGTTGTCATGCAAGAGTACCGGCACATTCTTTCGCACCTATCCTCTTTGACACACGACCGTCATCAATGGCCAGCTTTCCAAAGTACATGTACTCTGTACTCTGCCGAGACAGATTGTAGCCGTCGCCCAGCCGCCTGGTAATATGTAGTCCCGTATAGAGGAGAGCTGAGTCTGCAGCTGCTGAAGCCGGTTCTGGAACCCGAGCTGGGGTGCTACCTGTTTGTGATGCATTAATATGATGCCGGACTGGCAAAAGGCACAACAGCTACGTACGTTAGGCGCCTTGTGTAGATTAAGGTATTCTCAAGCAGCACCAACGGTCAAGCCGGCATAAGAGGACGTCGCAGTACGAGAGGCAGCAGCTTTGCATGGGATAAATATATACCAAGAGGAGGCATGAGCATGCCAGACACATATCAAGACTCGAGCTGCAAACTTCCCAATACGTTCGTCGTTCGAATGTTGTTCATGGGAAGTCGCACGGAGTACCGGTTACTCTAAACTCTAAATATCAGTTGGACCTTGCGGCTCTTTGCCATTTGCAAGCTTTCACAAAAGTCACTCCGCCAGGAGAAAAAGCAAAATCATTAACCGCCTGATCCGTGGTAACACACATGGCACAGAGACAAAAGGAGAGTGGGTGTATTACACAGCGCTGGAAGCTGATCAATTTTTTGGCGCCAAGTGGCGATACCCTCAATTCATACGTGAGTTGCCGTGTGTACATCAATCAATTCAGATTCCATACGATTTCAGACAGCTTGTAATTCATGACAGTCACATCACATGATTTGACCGCCCATGGCTCTGGCACGATGATGGATCCTGCACTCCCGTGACTTGAAACTGTACCGAAATGACAAAGGTATGAATCAGAACAAGCACATGTTGCCAAACATTGTCCCATAATCAAAAACGCGCGAGCAATTGGTCATCAAGAAAAGCAAAGAGGTGTGGCTGAACTGATGCCATCTCGCGAGTTCCGGAAGGGGATAGAATCACGGGCAGTTTGTGGCTGGTAGGTAAGCTCCATTTGGGTAGGTGCTGTGATTACCTAAACGCGGCGCGCGGACTAACCATTCTCCTACGCGCGTCGCCTCCCGCCCACTGGAGCGGCTGGGTTAGCCTTGGTCCACCCAAGACTTTCTGTCATCACGCATTTCCTTGCAACAAGCAATCCTCTGCTCAGTCCTTTATCAGGTTTGAGCCATCATCTTCTGGAGCGCTACACCCGACAGCTGCTCAATTCCCAAAACACGCATCGTAGCTACTCCACCGACGCGCAAGATCTGTATTTGTCGCCCCGCGGTCTTGCCACGAACTTGATATTCTTTCGCCGAGCCAACTAACGCTCCGGCTAAGTTGCCTGCTTGCCTGCGGACATCGGATTTCATTTCATTCGCATTTCGCATTCGCGCCTTCTCCAGCTTGAAAACTCCCTCAACAGTTGTTGCGCGCAATACAAATTCTCGTATCCATTGAAATTTGCGAAAAACTTCATTTCTCCGCCCATTACTCGTGCCTGTTAGCACATCCCTCGCCATGTCTGTCGAAATCGCCATGGGCACGCCCCTGGCGGAGGCCTTGAACACGGCAATTCGACCCAAGCTCGTTGAATGTGGCTGGGCATCAGACGGCGGCGACGACTCTCCACTTTCCGAATACATTCTTCTCATGCTGGTCAACGGCAAGACGCAGGACGAGATCGCAACCGAATTGGCAACCGATCTCCTCGGACTTGGACCCGAGGACGAGACTGTAGCACAGTTCGTGCAATGGCTATTTGAGCAGATTGCAAGTTTCAATGCTCAGATGAATGGCGGTAGTGCCCCGGCATCTGTGCCTCAGGGTGGCGATATGGCCATGGATCAGGACATGGACTTTGGCTCAAATGACCCCCTGGCCGAGCTTAATGCGTAAGTCATCTCTTCTACTTGACTCCTATCACTGTTACTGACAGCTTGAAGACCGACAGGCCCTCGGTCCATGAGGAACGGTGATATTCGTGGTGGAAGAGGCAAGCGCATTCTCGGCCAAATGAATCGAGCTATGGATAGGACACACGATTCCGTACTTCACCGAGTCAGAGGCGGCAGCGGCAACGAGCGAATCAACTCGCACAACCGACAGCCACCATCCGGCCCGCGCGGCGCCGGTCGCATGGGCAACCGTGGCATGAACCACCGAGCTAACAATATTGCCCACGGCATGGCCGCTCAAATGGGCATGGCTGGCATGAACATGGGCGACCCCAACTTCATGATGGCAGGTGCCGCAAATGGGCAGGGCGAGATTTTTGCACTTCTTCAGCAGCAAAACCAGATGATGGCCGCGCTCTCGCAACAACTTGCCGACTCACAGCGGCAGAATCAACATATGAATGGCCGCGGTCGCGGAGGACGATTTGACAGGAATGACCGAGGTCGTGGAAACCGTCGAGGCGGCCCTCATGGCGGTGGCCACCACGGACGACAGGATGAGTCGACGAATGGAGCAGGCGAAGGCGAGGATGTCGATATGGGCGGCGAGCGTCAACCTGCCAACCCAGAAACCACCATGTGCAAGTTCAACCTATCTTGTGGGAATGGGAACTGCAAGTTCGCTCACCAGTCGCCTGCTGCCCCTGCGGGCATTACCGTCGACGTCACCGACGTCTGTACTTATGGTGCAGCATGCAAGAATTTCAAATGTACCGCCAGACATCCCTCACCCGCCACCCGGCGAGCACATCAAGGCGAGCAGGAGTGCAAGTTTTATCCTCACTGCACCAATCCTAAGTGCCCTTTCAAGCACCCAGAGATGCCACCCTGCCGCAATGGAGGCGATTGCCAGGTTGAAGGTTGCAAGTTCACCCACCTCCAGACGATGTGCAAATTCAACCCCTGCACCAACCGCTACTGCCCCTACAAGCACGAGGACGGCCAGCGTGGAACCTTTCCCGACAAGGTATGGACAGCCAATGGATCCAGCAATGGACATGTCAGCGATCGGCAGTTTACTAGCAACGAAGCCGAAGAGAAGGTACTTCCAGGCTCGGAACATGTTGCCATGGACGAGGAGATTGCTTAGAATTCTCTCCTTCTGGTGGTATCACCCTCGAATTCTGGAAGATCGACTCCAAAGCGTGCTTCTGAGCTGTTAGTGGACAAGTTTGGTGGTTCGATGGACTACGAGATGGGCAGAGAGTGGTGATGAGATTTTGTATTATGTGGGCAGAGGAAGAGAGGGCCCAAGTGGCATATTTGTCGACTGTACAAAGCATACAGATTGACTTTTTGGCGTTGGAGGTTACTATGATAGATCATACAGGCGTTTTGCGGCTATAGGAAAAGTCAAGGACCAGTTGACGTGTTCATGCATATTTTACTACAAATATACCCAAGTGCATTTTTCTGTGATTCAACCAAAACAAATATTGGACTTTTTGATGCAAGTGACATGAGGTGAAAATTGGTGGTAGAATAACCGTGACAACAAAAAGAAGAAAGAAATTCAATGTGTATCATTTATTGTAAAATTATTAGACGAGTACCTTGCCATCTGTCTTCTCGTTCGAGGGCGTTGGCCATGGGCTGATTTATTTATGGGCTTGATTTGGTTTTCCCGTGTCATGATGCAATTTGGCGCGCCGACGTTTTAGCCGAGACGCGCCTCGTGGATCGTTACCTAACATATCACCTGCAAGGCGGGTTCAGATCGTTTGAACTTGGAAACCTTTCTACTCACCACAGCGTCGTCAAAACATGCCAATCAAAGGGTAGCCCCGGTGCCGAAAACAAGCAATGGCTTCCCGACACCCAGAGGAGCTCTTTATTGCTCTTCTCAGGTCAACCTACAGCAATGCCGGTCACGGCCTTGTGCAACGCCGGCCCGCCATAGCTCCATCAAAGCTCCCCACGGCCACGCGAGGGCTGAGTTACCTCGCTCTAAGTCACACCCGGCCGCTTCGCTCAGCACAGGTGCAACGTCTTTCCGCGTCGAATGAGAGGAGGAGAGGATATGCTGTCGCTTCCAAGCCGAAGCAGCCGCCGAAGCAGCCGCCGCCGCAGCAGAAGCGAGAGCCAAAACGCCAAATTGCCGTCCTCGGCGGCGGTATTACTGGTCTCACAGCTGCCCATTACCTTGCGCGCAGCGCCCCAAACACACACATCACCCTATACGAGGCGAGCGACCGCCTAGGAGGTTGGATTCATGGCGTACCGACCGAGGTGAAGACGCCCGACGGCCAGAACGCTGAGGTGTTGATGCAGCGGGGCCCTCGTATGCTGAGGTCTGGGGCTTCGACACCCAAGTATGATGACTTGGTGCTGTACGATGTGGTAGGTTGCTCTTGATTTCTGTTGTTTCCAGCCATTTCATTCTGACCAAAGTCTTTGCAGATTGCCAACTTGGGAATTCAAGACCAGATCATATACCCCAAGGGAGCCGCCGAATCGCGTTACATTTATTATCCCGATCATCTTGTCCAACTACCCAAAGCAGAGCCTTCGTGGGACAATATCATAAAAGCTATAAGATCTTACTTTTCAGAGTCCCTATGGGACGGTGTTTTCAATGCTGCATCGGGCTGGGCGATGCGTTTTTCCCGCACTACTGACGTTGTAGAACAAAAAAGAAAAGAAATCACAAACAAGGCGGCAGCATTCGACAAGGACGAGACTGTCGCCGAGTTCCTTGGGCGAATCTTTGGCGATCGAAATTCCCCCGTGATCGACAACATGGTCTCACCAATGCTTCACGGGATTTATGGCGGCGACGTCCACAAGCTGAGCGCCAAGCACACCATTTTTGAGAAATTCTGGCTACAGGATATGTATCCATTGTACAATGGTGAAGCGTGGGTCTGGAGGAAGGACCTGCATCTGCACAATGATATCTTGGATGGACCGAACCGGCGCGCCGTCATTCAGATGGCCGAGAGGGGGACGCACCATAATCTATTGGCATTCCGTGACGGTCTTGTGACTCTCATCGATGCACTGACGACAGACCTTGCACGTTGCAAGAATGTTACCATCAGAACCGATACACCTGTCTCGGCACTGGAACTAAAGGGCAATAAAATTGTTGTCAGCAAAGCTGGCAACGAGAAGCAGTCCCTAATGTACGATCAAGTGTTGAGTACGCTATACGCTGGACATCTTGCACAAATTGCCCAACCAGCAGACTCGCTCCCCTCGCTTGCCGATATCGAAGCTGTTACCATCATGGTAGTCAACCTCTGGTACCCGAATCAAGACTTGCTTCAAGACAACCCCGGTTTCGGATACCTTATCCCTCAGTCGGTACCACCAGATGAGAACCCTGAGTGTGCTCTCGGCGTGCTCTTCGACTCGGATATTGAGATGGGAAATGAGACCAAGGGCACGAAACTCACAGTGATGCTAGGCGGACACTACTGGAGCGACTGGTCCATCCTGCCAGACGAGGAGATGGCCATTGCAATGGCCAGATCTATCGTGGAACGCCACCTTGGTATCTCGCAGAGCGAGCCGTTCAAGGCTGGCGCTAAAATGTGCAAAGACTGCTTGCCGCAACACACGGTTGGTCATGTCGATCGCCTCCGTAAAGCTCATTACGAGCTCTCGGCCGCCTTTCAGGGTAAGCTCATGGTAGCCGGACCCAGCTACACTTCTGTGGGCGTCATTCCAGCCATGCGTGCTGGTTACGATGCAGCCATGCGCATGGCCCAGGGGCACGGTCATCCATGGTCTACGCGCCTAGACGAAGACGGGGGCGTGTGGCACTGGCACAACGATGCCTACGTTCGCGCCAAAAAGGTTTTCGGCAATGTCAGCAGGGACGAGCCCATGGATCATGTGGGGTCTACAGGTCTGGAATGGACCACGGAAAGCCAGATTTTGCAAATGAGCGCAATGCCTGCTAAGTATATGTTCTTCAAGAAATTTACCGGGCCAGGCGAGAGATTCTTGGATCAGGAAGGAAACTGGAGAGTGGATCCGGAGGCATTGTTCAAGATCCCTCCGGATCTGCCTACAGGAGAGGAGGAGGAGACTGTACAACCACCCAAGGGTAACGATAAGTGATCTGGCAATCACGACTATTGGGTACCCCCGGCCGAACTGGGTCGGCTATTTTGATTTGAAGACTTTCTTTCCGGCATGGCTCAAACTAAGCTGAGCAGATTGTAATGGCATTAAGCATGGACAGTACCACCATTTGTCAAGACTCTAGAAAAGACATAGAGAACAGGTTACTCAGGAACATGCTTCGAGTCATGATAAAGGCTACATCTATAGTGCATAAAAGGGATACTCTCAAGACAAGTTAATGCTTGCCAGCACCTTGACCACATGCTCGGCGAATTTCTCATCATTGATCCCCAGCCCGTCAAACTTGATGATATCAATACCGCTGCCTTTGAGCCCGTCCTCGATACCCTTGAACAGCTCTTCATCGGCTTCCCGATCCTCAAAGGGTCCGCCTTTGCCTGCTATCATGCTTATCGCCTCTGTAGGTATCACCACCTTGACCATGTCCTTTCGCCGGGCCTTTTTGAGTTTTCCAACGATAAAATCGGCTATGCGCTTGTTCTCGTCCCTCGTCGTCCGCAGCAGCGTCACCATGGGATTGTGAATATGGAGTCTCCTCTCGCCCCTGTCGGCAGCCTCGAGGAGCTCGGCCTTGATGGTACCGCGGGGACCAAAGTTGATCATGTCGCAGGCGCCCACGCTGACCACCATGGGAACGCCGGCCTCGGCGCCCGCCAGCAGCCGCTCCGGTCCCGCCGAGAGCACGCCGCCGCCCACCTCGTCGGCAATCTCGGTCGTCGTCAGGTCCACCACGGCGTCAAACTCGCCTTGCCGGATCAGTGCCTCCATGGCCCGGCCGCCCGACCCCGTCGCGTGGAACACGACAACTTCGGCCTCGTGCGGCGGCGCCGTTAGAATGGAGCGAATGGCATCGACGCCCGGCGTGGTCACACCAAACATTGTAATGGCAATCCTCTTTCGCCCACCATTTCGATTACGCCCATCCGCCTTGTTCTCTGCCAGACGGCTTCCGTCATGATGATGATCGCGTCCGGCGGTACCAGCAGCAGCAGCAGCACTATTATCAGCACGGTAACACGCCAACGCCATACCCGCCACCGCGGCCGCCGCGTTGCCCAGCACGCGCTCGGAAAGAAAGTGCAAGCCGGCGATATCCGTGACGCTGTACATGAGGGTGAGATCGACGCCGCCCACCAGGCCGCCCACGTCGCCGCTCGCCATGGTGCTGACGAGCAGCTTGGGCAGGCCAATGGGCACGGCATTCTGGGCCAGGCTCGCAATGATGGAGGAGCCCGTGCTCCCGCCAATGCCCAGGACGCCGTGCAGGGGATCGTTAGAGTGGAGGGTGCGCACATAAGATGTGGCGGCTTGGATCATGTGGCTAGAGTACTCGTCGCGCGGGAGAGAGGCTAGCTGCCTTGTCTGGTCCGACGAGGACAAGATGTCGGACTGCGAAATGTTGATAAGACTGTGAGTTGTTGGGGTGCGCCCAATGTCCATGAGAATCGGTTGAATGCTGGCGTCAATAGAAGTGAGCCGGTTGTGGATGAAGGCGATTTCTTCCATCTTGGTATCACATGTTGCTAGTAGGAGAACCCGGGGGCCGGACTCCTCATCTTGAGACTTTGACATGTTCGAGAATTGATGTTGAAGTCAAATCTTTGAATATATCCTCCACTATCACTTGAGCAGGATTATGATATGTTGAATAATGAATGATCTTTTTGTCTTATAAGCGGACTGTCTCTGTCAATGAAGTTCTTAGCCAATTTGGTCGTAGCAGTATATGGACTATAAGTTGAAGCAACAAGTCTGGAGACGGTCTATATTATCGATTCATAGCCCCAACATCGTGTAAACAAATATGGCTTCAAGTTGTTCTGCTGTTAAACGAGGCAAAGTGGGGAAACGCCATCAGCCCCCCGTTGCGTCATGACGCATGGCTATATGGTCACTGCTGCATATTCACTGGTTCTTCTTTTGAAACAATTCATCTGACATGTTGATCGCATTGCCGAGCCCCGAAAAAAGTGATCTACATATCGAACATTTACGGCGATAAATTTGTAGGACGACTATTTCAGCCCAGATCCAATTTCCAAGTCAGAAACTACAGACATAATACACAATGCCTAGACCAACCACCAGAACTGAGGTCCTCGATCACCTTCGGGCTGCCGTATCCCGCGGTGAGGCCATTGTCGGCGCCGGCGCCGGGACTGGTCTAAGTGCCAAATGCGTCGAGAACGGCGGTGGCCATCTCATTATTGTCTATAACTCGGGCCGTTTCCGAATGGCTGGCCGCGGAAGCTGTAAGCAGATCCCCAAAGGATATTCATGTCAGACTTGATCAAAACTTGTCCTGCTGGCGAGCTTCTACATCATCTACCTAAAGATGCACAAGACTCGTACATATTATAGCTGATATCACTTGATTTTTGAAATCCAGTCACTGACAATTAATCGTGTAGTGGCTGGCCTGATGCCGTACGGTGACGCCAATAAGATTGTCGTGGAAATGGCAAGTACATTCATTATCCATATGATTTACGCACAATTGAGACATATCAAAGTCATTCACTAACACGGTTCGAGTTCCTCAGGCCTCTGAAGTTCTCCCCATTGTCAAAAAGACACCGGTGCTGGCCGGGGTCTGCGGCACGGATCCGTTCCGGGAAATGCCCTACTTTCTCTCGCAGCTCAAGGCGATTGGCTTCAGCGGGGTGCAAAACTTCCCCACCGTCGGCCTTATCGACGAGGACTCGGTATTCCGGCAAAACCTGGAGGAGACGGGCATGGGCTATGGTCTGGAAGTGGACATGATCCGGGAGGCGCGGCGGCAGGACCTCTTCACCTGCGCCTACGTCTTTTCGGCCCGTGACGCCGCCGACATGACCCGCGCCGGCAGCGATGTCATCGTGGCCCACATGGGTCTGACGACGAGCGGAAGCATCGGTGCCCAGACCGGCAAGAGCCTCGACGAGTGCGTGAGCAGGATCCAGGAGATCCGCGATGCCGCCGTCGCGGTCCGGGACGACATTATTGTGCTTTGTCACGGCGGTCCCATTGCCAATCCCGAAGACGCTACCTACGTCCTCGCCCGGACTCGAGGCGTTCAGGGCTTCTTTGGTGCTAGTAGCATGGAAAGGCTGCCGACGGAGAAGGCGATCCAGGCAACGACGGAGGAGTTTCGACAAGTCAAGATCGGCAAGGCGTAAGATGGGCCCCAAGATTCAAAATGATTGCTGTATCTCTACCATCTCTAATGCTTAGCAGTAGACTGGCAGTTGCATTTGGTACAAGTATCAAAAAAGAGTGCCGAGATTCTCTAGTGTCAGTGAATCAGCTGAGCAGACAAACGTCCAAGTTTCTTGGTGCAAATCGGTAGATGGGTCTTGAAAGTGCATGTTGCATTGAGAAGACTGTTCCATATTCCCTCCTCGAATCAAATCAGGTAGATGAAATGAAATGCATCAATGCCGATAAAAAAAACAAATCCCATCCCTAGACTGTCAGCATCTACAGTCACCATGTTTTGTTCTTTTTTGGATTGTCCCACAACTCGTCAAACATTTCTCATTGCGTCTTCCTAAATGACCAAACTCGGCAGTCATCTTTCTGGAATCGTGGCCATCTTGTTCACCCAAGCACTCTATATGATCGCTCGAAAAATGTCGTCGTTCGTTGTTGGTATTGTTTTTGATTTGTGATGCTAGACGCAAGGTTGCAGTCGGTTCATTTTACCATGCATCCCTTGCCCTTAACCCAGATGCTGCCAAGTCATGAATGAACCATCCGCACTACCAACTCCGGCCGAAAACCCTCCTGCACTTATATCGACGAAGGGTACAGCATGATACGAACAGAGGCACCGAAAGACTTAGTGGGGAGAGGGCTGGAGAACTTGGCGCGGACAACGCCAGAGTTACCTAGAGAGCAGAGTCAGTGTCGGCTCGTGCAGGACACAAACAAGAAGGACTCGGATAATTACCGTGAGGTCGGGTAACCTTGCCCCAGATGACGCGGATCTTGGAACCGCGGATCTCCTTCTGGCCCTTGTAGACGTAGGCGACCTTCTTGCCGAGGTAGAAGCTGTATTTCCATGTTAGTTCCCGCTTGTTTCTCGATGATTCGTAATTCGTGGTAGACATACTTGGCGGCAGCAGTGTCATCAACACCCTCGATCTTGACCAGGCTGGTCTGGGGGTGGATGGTGTGTCGGCCACGCTGGTAGCTCAGGTGACGACCCCTACAAACATAACATGTCAGCGCCCATGATCTTGTACTTCGGTTCGTTTGCTGGAATGCTCGTGGTGCGTTGGAGCCATTGCCCTCTGCTGAGGGGAGGAAATCGTGGTGAATCAAATTTCGGATATCGCAGTGTCAACTTACTTGACGTATACTACAAATCGGACAAAGTTAGCAAATGTTCTACCAATCTCATGTAAGACCAAGACGAATCCGCAAACACCAAGAAAGCAATGCGCCAGGCATCAATTTCGTCGTCTGTCGAGGCGAGGACGTCGGCGCATTGACTCTTCGTTGGCGGTTGCGAAAAATTCGACATGTCCTGGCCGGAGTCCAAAAAGCAGCGGGATACTCACGTCTGTGACCAGCTTCGGAAGGCATCTTGGCTGTGTTGTTCCACCGCTCTCGTAATCTATGGGGATGAAGATCCGGGAGGTATGGGCTGTCGTTGGGCGGTTTGTCGTCTTTTGGCGTTGTCGTGATTCCGTGGATGTCACGCCTCGATAGGGTGTTCTGCAAAATCGGGTCTAAGGCAAGAGGGCTTCTGCACCCTCCACAAAACCAATTTTTTCGGGTGGTGGCTGATGCTGGCGTTGAGCCACAGCTTTGAGTGGGGCCACTGCCAAGGCTGGCATTCGTCGCCTGGCTGGCAGACCTGCCAGCTGGCCATTGATCACCCAGATTGAAGCTATCGATAGGACTATTATCACAATGCTTGAAAAGCACTTGTTGATCATCAAATCATCACGTCTCTTCTATTCATGTACATGGCAGTTGCATTTCAGGATTACTGCGATTGAGAGATACCAGAATCGTGTGCTATGATAGCGACGACACGATCCAGTCCACGACCGAATATGCTGGATGATCATAATCAATAACAGTGCGGTCCTCCATCAGACTTACGAAAAAATACATGGAAACAAAAACTTGCAGTGTGATCGGACTCGATTGGTTTTTTGGTTGTCACCTTCCCAAAACTGCCACTAAACATTCGGCTGGACTCTGATGGTTTTGAAACCAAGCTCACATAGTATGGGCGGACACAGCATGCTTACCTATCGGAAGATCTTTTTCACTTGCAGTAAGTCCGGGGCTGCCTGAACTGCCTGAGCGACAATGTCGGACTCCGGAAGCCGGAGAACCCCAAAGTCTTGGGCCATCACCTGGTTTTACATCGACAAGGAGGGGTGATTCCTCGGTGATTGGGATATTGTGCTACCTGGGACGTATGTTCTGTCATGCTTGTTATTACGCACGTAACACCAACACAGAACATAAGCAGAAGCAGCAGCGGCAGCAGCTGTAGCATGGTAGATATCTGCCTCTGTACACAAAATTCGAGTGAAGACGGCTTTCAGGTTAGATGAAAACTTGCAACCTGCTTCACAGCCGGCCCGTCCGTAGAGGCCAAACAAGGACCGATAGCCATCCACTATCGCCGATCGACTGCCTGCTACTGTTGTCGGATGTGAAAAATAGTGCTTAAAGGG